AATAAAAGAATCAAAAATAAAATAACTTCAAATACAAGACATAAAAATAAACTAATATTAGAGATATAAATAAAATTAAATCATTTAAAATTAAATAAGTTTAAATAACAAGCCAATTCAAATCAATTTTTAATAAATAACCAAACTAAATAATCAAATGATTAAAAGCCGCACCTTAATTAATATTTAATTAAAATAAAAGGGTTTAATATGTTGCTTTTTCCTTAAGGGGGGCAATAAATACATTTCATTTGACCAGACCTAGAATTGTTAATAATAGCTTCAAGCACCTAAAAGTTGTTAATACATGCATTATTTTAACATAAAATCAAGTAAATCATTAGAGATCAAAATGAAGGCTTTATGTGTTTGTTTACTCATAGGGGTGAAATAAATGCATTCTTTATGAAGCAATAGGAAATTTGTTTGATTACGTTATTCAAATCACAGTTTAGAATCATTAATTATAAATGTTCTTAAAGAAACTAATTAATACTAATTTAAACAATTAAAATAATAACATAATATTTAATAACTGATACTCAAATTCTAAACAAAATCCTTTAAACCCTATTACAAATAAATGTAAAAAATCATAGATAAAATCAATCAATATGACTAGACATATCGAAGTCACAAAGCTTAGGCACACACTTAGATTATTTTCTTGATAACCAACTCTAAGCCTAGCTTTTTTAGATTATTTTTCTAGGATAACTAATTGTAGCCCCAAGGCTAGGCTTTATCTTATGTTTTTTTTTTTTCTTTGGAACGGGGGGTATTGGCCCGCTGCCACGTCAACTTGTGACGCGCTTGGGCGATGTACCACTAATCTATCGGCGAGTCCTACCAGCAACCACCCCAGGTGGCAGGACCCACAGTTCTTTTCTCAATCCACTTAAAGGAGTCCAAGTCGCCGTTGAAGAGGGGATTTCGAATGGGATAGGGAGTTCCCCAAAGCCACGCCCAGTGAATTTGTTAAATTCTCTTAAGAATTCTTCATTTTTGGTGAAAGGAAAAAGGGGCATCCTGCGTCTTTAGTGTAGGCTTTTAATTGTCCTTGGGTGTGATTTTTTTCTTCTTTTGGCCAAATTTATACTTTATTGCCCAGTTCAGAGAGACGCTTGCATCAAGAGTCTTGCTACCAAGACATTGATACCCTCCCACAATTATTAGTACTGATAAGTCTATTTGTTATGTTTGACAAGAAAGCATCAAAGCAATGGCTTCAGTACAGGCTCTAACAAAGTTTTTAATCAAATAGTAACCTTCGATAAGTTATTCTTATAAAGATTCTTAAATTTTACTTGGAAAACATAAGTAAGTTTCTCCGAAATGAGATTTCAGTAAATGCTGACAAATAAGAAAATACACTATTAGAGATAAAATTGAGTCATGGACTGTTGATACAAACTACTTTATTCAGTGAGCAATTTTGTTACAATAGAGAGATTATTACGTGCAAGGCACGTACGGACAAAGAGAAAACAATTCAATTTTATGCACCCAAGGCCGGTAAAACCGAACGGTTCTTGGTGTTTAAATTCCGATGTAAAAAATCTCCGTTACAATAGAGTCAAAGCTTCAGCGAGATAATTCTCGGGGATCTTCACCCGGAAAAAAAAAAAGAGGTACGGGATGGTTTTCTACGAGCCGGTGTCATAAGCAGCAAACATTCGTGGGTCTCACTACTCTGGACTAAAGAGACGGACCAAGCAAGCGGCCCGATGTGGCAGCTCATTGATCTGGCTCCACAAGTAGCCCCCTGAGAACTTCTGGGAACAGTTATTCTGGAGTCTGAATTGGTCAACTAGACGGATTAATAGCAACTCTTTATTTGCAAAAATAAAAAGGTTAGCAGAAACTCACTTTGATCACTGAGTTGAAGGAATTTTAACAGGTGGTAATGGCAATTACCTATAACCATGAAAATTTTCGATTATTGCGCACAAAATAGAAACTACGTGAGAAACTACAGAAAATAATAAGATACATGATAAACTATACAATTTGAGATGTCTAGAATCTCAAACTATTGATTGGAGAGAAAAAAAGGCAAAGCAATCTGAAAGATACTCTCAACTCCAAATAGTCCATTTGCAGTGAGAGAGTGAACAGCCAAAGTTTCCTTCAATATTTTGGTTTTTGCATACACATTTTTTTTTGGTTAAGAAAAGTAAAGGTAGACCTAAAAAGGCTTGATTATAAAGTATTAAGAATGACCCTTTTTAATAGAATTAAATGAGAATTTGACTCTTAACAGGATAATTCGGGAAAATGATTCATATAGCCGACCCTATATAGTGGGATAAAGGTTTGAATATTGTTGTAGTTGTTGGTTTTTTATGAGAAGAGGTATTTGTAACTTACAACACCCATAAAAACATAATAAGAATCCATTGGCTGATAATATATATCAATCAATTTGTCAAATTTGGTTAGAATGATCTTGTATTCTGATGGCTTGGTATGAGTTTAAGTTCAACTAGCCCAGTGGATAACTGGGAAGCATGCAAGTCGAGACACAGTCCATCCATTGCAGAAGAAAGACGAAGACGACTGGAGCCAAAGGACCATATGAAAGTTTCATCAGTAGGCAAGCACCACCAGGGACGGAGCCAGAATTTTTTCCTAGCGAGGCACAAATCATTAAAGTAAGAAAAAATTTCTCACATTAAAATTTTTTTAGATCCAGAAATGAATAATCAAACAATTTACTAAAAGTAAGCAAATGTTGAAGCAGTTTTCACTTTAATCCCAAATTTACTAAATCTGAAACAGTATTTTCTATCATAATATACTAATAAATGTGAATAAATTTCTCACCGGTACCCAAAAACAAAAGCCCATACGCCAAAAATTTTCTCCAAAAAACATAAGACCCCTCAAAAAATAAATCAGAAGATCATAATCAACCACAATCATGAAATTAAGGTAAAAAGATTTACTTTAGTGTCAAAATCTGCTACCAGATTCAGACATCAAACGTATGAAAGAGTTTGGGGTCGGCTTAATCGGCATCAACAAGCCGTAATCCAAGCAAGAATTACGACCAGAAGAAGACCTCCGGTAGATGCTTGCGATTTCTTGCCCGTTTCCAACTGAAGGATTTCCTCGTCCTGAACTATCAGCACAAAAACATTGGAAAGAGAAAGAGTAATTACTTCCCGCGTTGGGATGAAAATAATATATAATAATTTTGATTTAATATATAATTAATGAGTCATAAATATATTTAGTTTGATATTAATAATACAATCATAAATATATAACCCCCATACTGCATCCGCCCCTGAGCACCACCATAAGTGTTCTATGAACAACATGAACCATGTAAAACCCATATCCATAACAAAAACAATTACAAAAAATAGCAAAATTAAACCACCAAAAAAAGAGTTCTGAAGTTTTAAACTAAAGAATTCATTTTTCTTCGCTTACTCGTGTAGAGTTCAAGGTTTCATAGAATTCTAATGATATGGGAATAAGAAAACCAAAGAAAATCAAATACACTGAGCAGGACCAAAAATGAGATAGAGGACTTACAAGGAGTTGGCATGCTGGATAAATGTCAGCTTCAAGAGCCTTCCGAGAGCCTTCTAAGTAAGATATTCTTCAGGCAAAGCATGCCAAGCCGGAGGCAAAGCATGCCAAGCCGGAGGCAAAGCACGCGAAGAAGTCGAAGAAGCTTCTTTAGCAACTCGATCTTTCAATACTAAAGCCAGGGGCGAGGCGAGGCGAGGCCGAGCCGGTGACGACCTTTTTTCAAATGTGTGCTGGTTCTGATGGAATACTATGGAATGCGAAGGAGAGAATACTAAGTAATGCGTGAGGAAGACGAAGGGTCCTGACAGATTGAGGGTTACAATCAACCACATGTAACTCTTCACGTAAATCCAAAGAAATAAATGAAAAACCCCGCACACGAAAATAAATGGAATGAAGAGAGACCAAGCACAGCCCCTTCGTCTTCTGCTTGCTTTAATGCAAGTTTTATGTTCAAAAATTAATATGCAATATAATTTAAACGATCATTAACTTAAGATAAATGTTTTAATATGAACATTAATGTCATTTGATATAAAAAATATATTTAAATAATAATTACCACATGTAATGAATTAAATGTTTGGCTCCAAACTTTTATCTGTCATTAATTGTTACGTTATAATTAATTAAGACCTTTTAATTAAGCATATAAGATATGAAGGGAAATTATAATTAATTGAATTTAATTGGCGCATGAGAATAGAGAGTAGAAATTAATGGAGTGTGTTATAAATAAAGAATTTGAAGAGTCATAAATGAACATTTCAGATTATTTTAAAATTTACAAATGAACGATCAGGATCTGCTAAGAGTGAAGTCCAAAGCCACTTTTATATAGTAGTATAGATTTTCTTGAATAACCAACTCTAGCCTAGGCTTTTAGATTATTTTCTAGGATAACTAATTGTAGCCCAGGCTAGGCTATCTCAGCTTGTGACGCGCTTGGCGATGTACACTAATCTCTCGGCGAGTCTACCAACAACCAACCCCACAGGTGCAGGACCCATAGTTCTTTTCTCTCCACTTAAGGAGTCGTGCCATTTGAGAGGGGATTCGAACTTGGGATAGGGGGTTCCCAACCAAGCATGCCCAGTGAATTTGTTAAATTCTTTAAGAATTTCTTCATTTTTGTGAAGGAAAAAAGGGGCATCTGGTCTTTAGTGTAGCTTTTAATTGTCTTGGTGTGATTTTTTTCTTCTTTTGCAAATTTCTATTTATTGCCCAGTTGCAGAAACGCTTGCATCAAGAGTCTTGCTACCAAGATTGAATACCCTCCACAATTATTAGTACTGATAAGTCTATTTTGTTATGTTTGACAAGAAAGCATCAAGCAATGGCTTCAGTACAGGCTCTAACAAAGTTTTTTAATCAAAATAGTAACCTTCGATAATGTTATTCATATAAAGCATTCTTAAATTTACTTGGAAAACATAAGAAGTTTTGAAATGAGATTTCAGTAAATGCTGACAAAATAGAAATACACTATTAGATAAAATTGAGTCATGGACTGTTGATACAAACTACTTTATTCAGTGAGCAATTTGTTACAATAGAGAGATTATTACGTGCAGAGTACGGACAAAGAGAACAATTCAATTTTGTGACAGGCGTAAAACCGAACGGTTCTCGGTGTTTAAATTCCGCATGTAAAAATCTCTCGTTACAATACGAGCAAAGCTTCAGCAGATAATTCTCGATCTTCAGGAAAAAAAAAAAAGGTACGGGATGGTTTTACGAGCCGGTGTCATAAGCAGCAACATTCTGTGGTTCACACTCTGGACTAAAGAGACGGACCAGCAGGGCCGATGTGCAGCTCATTGATATGGCTCCACAAGTAGCCCACCTGAGACTTCTTGGAACAGTTATTCTGGAGTCTGAATGGTCACATAAGAGACTTAAATAGCACTCTTTATTTGCAAAAAAAAAAGGTTAGCAGAAAATATCACTTTGATCATGAGTAGAAAATTTAACAGGTGTATGGCAATTACCTATAACCATGAAAATTTTCGATTATGCGCACAAAATAGAAACTACGGAGAACTACAGAAAAATAATAAGATACATGATAACTATACAATTTGAGGATGTCTAGAATCTCAACTATTGATTGGAGAGAAAAAAAGGCAAGCAACTCTGAAGATACTCTCAACTCCAAATAGTCATTTGCAGTGAGAGAGTGAACAGCCAAAGTTTCTTCAATATTTTGGTTTTGCATACACATTTTTTTTTTTTGTAAGAAAAGTAAAGGTAGACCTAAAAAAGGCTTGATTATAAAGTATTAAGAATGACCCTTTTAAATAGAATTAAATGAGAATTTGACTCTTAACAAGATAATTGGGAAAATGATTCATATAGCCGACCCTATATAGTGGGATAAAGGTTTGATATTGTTGTAGTTGTTTTTTTTATGAGAAGAGGTATTTGTAACATTACAACACCCATAAAAACATAATAAGAATCATTGGCTGATAATATATATCAATCATTTGTCAAATTGGTTAGAAATGATCTTGTATTCTGATGGCCTTGTATGAGTTTAAGTTCAACTAGCCCACTCTGTGGCCAAATTCCTTCCATTTTAACATTGATCAAATTGTTGACAAACAATTTGTTAGGAGACTTCCACCTCACCTTCAACCATCATGTCATCAATGGACCTCCCTCTCATTACCTCTACCCTGATAAGGTTCACCTTCATTTTCCCTTATTTGTAGTCGATAAAGATTAAAAGTTAGTAATCTACAAAATTTTGTGTACAATTTACATGACTTTCTATGTTAGATCTAAATCAGAAATCACAGATCCTAAGGGATCCTACAATTATTAAAAAATCTTAAATTTCGAACAAAAAATTCAAAAGAGATTCATTTAATTCTACATATTCTTAGAATATTTATCATTAACTTAATTTCAAACTACAAAACAACTTATTTGGACAACAAATAAGGGGAGGAGTGACCAAAACGAAAAAATAACTCTTCAAACTACGTTAGAAAATGACAACTTCAACAATGTTTGTTTGGAAGGATAATAATCCAATGTACACAGCCCAAATAGCTCCATCTTTAAAAAAAAAAAATCTAACAAAGCTAAAATTCTGATAATCATGGCAATAGTTTACACCTCAGATAGGGGAAAACTTGGAAGCAAACTAAGGAATAAATACAACATTTATAAATCTATAGTAAAGAAAAGATCTCAGGAAATTAACCATACAATGTGTAGCAAGGTATCTTATAGTCTAGGATTTAATATTATATAGGAAGAGATGCAAAAAACTTATGCACACAGTCGAAGTTGCATTTCACAAACTCCTAGTTTAGGCAATTCATCACCCTTTTAGATGGAAACGAACAAAACAAAGAGAAAGATCCTCACAAGTGATAATTTAACAATCATCTACCAAAAATATTGTATAGAAATTAAGGGTGGTCATTAAAAAAAAAATGACAAGTTTAATAACAAAAACTAGATTGTAATGGATTCCAAATAAACAATCACATAAGCAAACAAAACACTAGTTATAGAAAATGGAGACAGAAAAGAAGACACCAAATAACAAATGCATTATGTTTGTCGTTCACAATTGCATTGCACAAGAAAAAATTGCAATTAACAGGCATTCACTCAGAGAGAAAGAGTATAACTCATAAGTGAAAAATTAATGGAGCTATTTTTACATAACTGGAATATCCCTCTATTTAAAATCACAAATTTCCTCCTAAGATCAACTAGTTCATTGGTGAAATCCCGAGGATGACTCTCGTGGAATTCCACAACCATACTTGCTAACGACAAATGATTAAATCCCAAGGTTACTAAAACTTGCAGCAATTGACTCTTTTGCTCTATTCATTGCTTCATATATGTAAGCCATTGCGATCAACCAATCTTAGAACATTCAATAAAGGCTAAGTTATTTTTAAGGCATACACAATAGTGTTCCAAAATGATTGCTGCAAGATTATCTGTTGAGATTATTTTGCTTTGGCCTCTTTCGCATAAGGACCCAAAATGAACTCTTTACAAGTAAACATTTTCTTCAAGTTCAGTTGTTGTTGATGAAAACATTATAACGTCAAGAAAGCTGTTGTGAAATGAGTCTTGACGGGTTTGACACGTGCTCTTTGATTTGTGCACCTCATTAAATCAAGTAAGCGATACCTAAAATATATAAAATTGTATACTGCCAAGTAAGCGATACCTAAAATATATAAAATTGTATACTGCCGCTGCTTTTTCAAAGCATCGCCTGAACTTTTGGATTTTGAAAATGTCATCCATTATTAAATCCAAACAATAAGCAGGACAAGGAGTCCAAAAAATATGAGAATATTTGTCCATCAATAATTTTCCTATAATATCATTGGAATTTATGTTAGTACAAAACATTTATTCTTCATATGAATAATGTAGGTTTAGGTTATGACTATCCTACAAGAATATTTTTAGCTAGATTATCAGTAACAACTGGGATCACATTATGTGGTCCAATAATTTTAATATATTTGCAAAATAGTTCAAACATTTTCACAGCATTCTTGGAAAAAGAACTATCATCCATTAACTTCATAAATGTGGAACCTCTTGGACAATTCAAAAGAAAATTTATTAAACTTTTCACATTCCATGATGTTCATCCATCTGCCATTAGAGAACAAACATATCGTGCACAATCTTCTTTGATGATGTCGTAATAGATCATATGTATGTCCAACCTCATTCTTCAAACAAGTAACTTGTACCTCACGATAACTAGAAGGTTTCATTCCGTCTCCAAAGTCCAAACTATCCAAGTGCCTCAACCATGGTAGGGAAAGTGTCATATCTCACTATATTAAATGGAATACCAGCATCATACATCCATCTATAGAAAACTTGAATAGCTCTTTCCCTCATTTCCTTTTTAGCAACACCCCTCTCTTTTGCTAAATTGACACTTTCTCCTTTGCACTACATCTTCATGATTTGATGTAAAATAAGTATCTAATGGTCCTTTGGGTCTTGATGATTTGAGGATTGATGTTGAACTCTAACTAGAAGCATTAGATTTACTTGTCCTTAACATTTTGGATGGACCATCATCCAGAATATCATCATATGTCATCACATCAAAGTCATCTCCTTCATCAAGGTTGACATTTGAAGTGTTATTAATATGTTCTTTCAGATCATTCTTCTTCAACATGGATGCCTTAACATGCTCGGGGCAATTAGAACAAGGTCTAGCAGTTCTAAAACCTCTAACAAGGTGTTGTTTGTGGTGTGTAATTCCTCATTTTGTTATTTTGCCACAAAAAGTACATTTAACAGTATTGTTATCGGCTTCATTAGTCAATACTACATATTTCCATGTTGCATTCTTTTTTAAAGATTGAATTGAATCTGATATTTTATGATGACCTATAGGCAAACAAATTCAAAATTTAGTTGATATCAATTAAAAAAGATCACTTATGAATGCCAAATTAATTTACATGACTTAAACTAATAAAAAACATTGTTATTTCTTTTTAGACACTGAATTATCTAAAGCATAATTCTTTGAGCATGCTATCTATTTCTTCAAAGAATTAGGAAGGATACTCATGTAAAACATAGCTATAAAAGAGTACGTTTCAACTTAAGCATCACCTTGATATAAAATTTGAATCCCGAATGCTATAATAGTCTTCATAGACAATTTATTTTCAAAGGAAATAACACTGTTAAAATTGAACAATCTTTCAGTTCACATATATGATCTAAACGACAATGAGGACCTAATACATGCCTCCAATTACAAGCTAGATCAGATGATATAGTCACAAAATAATAGCACATAAGCTTCCAAGGCAAAGGAGAAATGAAATGCAAAAAGAAAAAAAAATAAATAAAATGGCAGACGAAGGGCTCACATGGCGGCCACAGTTTGTTCATTCTTTCGCATGCGTTGGGCACCGGCAGAGGAAGGAGAGAGTGCGGCAGAATCAGAGAAAGGAGAGGGCGGCAGAATCAGAGCACTCTATTCGTTCCTTCGCATGTGTGAGGATCATAGTTCGTTCGTTCCTTCACGTGTATTGGGTACCGACAGAAGATGGAGAGGGCAACAAAATCAGACGAAGGAGAGGGCGGCGAAATTAGAACACTCTGTTCATTCCTTCGCATGCTTGAGGGTTGTAGTTTGTTCGTTCCTTTGCGTGCATTGGGCACCGACAAAGGATGGAGCAGGAAACAGAATCAGAGGAAGGAGAGGGAGACAGAATTAGAGCACTCTATTCATTCCTTCGCGTGCTTGAGGGCTGCAGTTCGTTCGTTCCTTTCCTTTGCGAGTTCATTCGTTCATGACACACGAACCGTGAGGGCTAGGGTTTAGGGTATTAAAAAACTTAACAAATATTTTAATCATATTTTAAAATTAAATATCATATTATATTATAAATAAAACATATAAATATTTATAATTATATTTAAAAAATAAAATAAAATTGTGCGCTATTTTGCGCCATAAGCCATTAGCCAATGTGCACACATGGCGCAAATAGCGCACATTATTTTAAATATTTGCACAGCGCCATGCGTATAGCACCGTGGCTGCGTCGTGTCGTTCGCCATGGCGCACGCTATTTTGCACCATTGATATGTATGTCCACAATCCACAATTCCACTCCAAGGAAACTCTCACAAAAAAGAACATGAAAAGGGGCAAATCAAGCAAAACAGAACATTACATGTAACTTTAGTCACGACTCAAGTTATGAATCACAAAAAATTTCAACATAGAAGAAATCACAGCCTAATAAAGCCAAACAACAATAAATAACATATAATTTAAGGCCCAAATCAAGACGAACAAAGAACTACTGCCATAGTAAATTAAAGCCCCAAGTAGCAATAGCAGCCCAATGAAACCAACAAGAAGTACACGAAAAACAAAAGCCATTCTCTTTAGGAATGAGTAAAAGCCTAAAATAGTTCCCCTATTATCAGTAACTGCCTAGTTTAGTCACAGACTTTCATAATGCCCTAATTTAATCATCCGACTATTAGAAGATGTCTTAATTTGATTCCAAAGCTAAAAGTAACAGTTAAAGTTAACCCCAACAGTTAAATGTAAAGGCATTTTGGGTATCATAGTATATGTGAGATTATATTATTATTTTTATATATTTTGTCATTTATTAAATTAAAATCAATACAAAAATTATAATGGAAGTTAAATAAATTTATTAATTATTTACGCTTATTATTTAGTTGGTTAACTTTCATTATAATTTTCATATTGATTTTAATTTAATAAATGATAAAATATATAAAAATAATAATATAATCTCGCATACACCCTAATTTCCAAAATACCCTCACATTTAATTATTGGGTTAACTTTAACTGTTACTTTTAGCTTTGGGACCAAATTAAAATATTTTCTAATAGTAGGGAGAAATTGGATCATTACGAAAATTTGGTATTAAATTATGTATTTACTAATAGTCGGATGACTATTTTGGCCTTTTACTCTATGAATTATCATCATTGGCATGTTTGCACCAAAATAAACAAATATTGATAAGAAATGACATAAAACAACTAGTGCAAAACCAAAGGGCATATGTCAATTTGCTCATTTGAATGCTCACATCCAACATTTTTTATGAGCATAAATTTTGAGGTTTGCATAACACTGACATTTAAATATAATAAATCAGCAATCAAAGAAGGGTAAATATCTAAAAGAAAAAAGAGGGACAAACCATAATGCAACCTACAAAGGACCCAAAAGGTAAGGCCTCCTCCGACAGAGAATACACCAGCTGTGTGTCTCATGAGTCGAGTGCAAGGCTTTGCATCTGATCTCATCAGCTCTCCATCAGACCACCCAAGCATCCGCCTCAAAGCCATAGTAATTTAAGCTATAACTGAAAGCAATACTATTTAGAGGTCTTTGTTATCCACTCAACCTGTCAAATATTGATAGAGAAAACAAGATTAGAAAGTCTAAAAATCCTAACACAAAGAAGACAGTGTTAGCTATTCAGCATCAAATCACAAATACCACTAGAAAAACTTGTATAGTTATTTTTTCTTGATAGTTTGATATTGCACGAGCAAAAATCTTTCTATTTTCAACTTGAAAGAAAATTTATCATTTTAAATAAAGTAAAAAAGGCATAAGCAAAACAAAATCCTGCAAATTGAAATAGATATACAACAACTGTATATAGAGCCGATAAAGATCCCATAAATATGCGTGAGAACATGCACACACTCATTGTAAAGGTACTGAATCCTCTCCACCAATTACCTTTCAAAATTATAAATTTTTAATGAACGACCTTCTTAATGAACTCTAGAAACAAACATTAACAAGCTTACTTTGATCAGAAACAAAACTTAAGATTCTGAGTACCACCAATGACAAGATAGAAGTAATATTTTGTTTCATTTAAAGTGAAACCAATATTTAGTATAGGGAGAACCATCTGTGTACGTTACACTTAATTGAACAAAAATATGCAACCTTACATAAAAGTTTCCAGAAAGAAAAAGAATAAAAAGGGGTCATGACTTTTTCACGGAATGGATTATGGGACGTGATATTATACAAATGGTGTGAATATGATATGAAGGTTTTCTATTGATACAACGTCTAACTAAATAATTTCCCGGCACAATATAGTAGGCCAGTAACGCAGGAGGGCATTCCAGTTATCTAATGAGTTAACGAGAAAGCTTTTGCTTGCTCAATTTGTAAATAGAAACAAAATAAAAAATTCAATAAAAAATCTTCAGAGATAATGTAAACCAGCAAAACAAAAACGCCTCGCTCGCCTATTTGCTCCAAACAGCGAAGGTTCTCGCATCTTCGCTAACCTATTTGCTCGAAACAACGCAGCTTCGGCCACAAGCTGCGTGGAGAAGGAGGAGCAATTCGGGCACGAGCGGTGTAGGAAAGGAGTTTTCAGGCACGAATGGCATAGGCCATAGGGAAGGAGGGTTTCGAGCACGGGTAGATATTGCGCGTCTTCAGAGCGGCCTGAGAGGAATAGGGCAACTGCGAGATTTTTTTTTTATTTTTAATATTTAATTATATTTTTATAATTAATTAATTTATTATTATATTATTATATTATTATTAAAAAATAAATATTTATATTAAATTATTCAACAATTTACAATAGGATTTAATTGATTTCAATATCAAATACTAAATGAGTTATTTAAGGAGCTTGCTCACTAGATTCATATCGAACATGAAATGAGCTTCTTATCGAGCTTTACATGATGTTGTTTATGAACATAAACGAGTCGAATATTTGGTTGTTCAAACTTTTTTATTTAATCATCAAGAATTTAAAAAATGATCAAGTTTATTTGATTACTTAATCAAATGATTACGAATAAGCTTAAATCAAGTCAAATCACGAGTAGCTTATCGAACACTCGGTTGGCTTGCAACCCTCACAAAAACACCACTCTAAAAATCTATATATAGTTATTTTGATTTTGCATAAACTATTTTTTTATTGTTAAGAAAAGCAAAACTAGATCTAAAAATGCCTAATTAGAAAAGTATTACCAACGACCTTTTTTGTTAGAATTAAATAAGAATTTGTCATTTAACAGAACAATTGGGAAAAAGAATTCATGTAACTGATCCCACGAAGTATGATAAAGACTTAATATTATTGTTTTTGTCTTCCATACAAATTTTCTCTAAGAAGAGGTATTTGTAACATACAACACCCATAAAAACCTAATAAGAATCAAATAGCCTACTGACCAATAAACTCTCACTCTCACAGGAGTCATAAAGGACTCACTAAACCACCCATTAATACATAATCATGCTGCATTTTACCATTTCGAGTTGCTGAAACATATCTAGAATTCGGTTTCTACAAGGAATTTTAATAAGGGAATAGACAATTCATTCAAGGATTTATAAAACATGAAGGAACTCGGTTGCATGACTCCATGTGGAAAGGCGAAGAAAGATGAACAAGATAGCTCCATTTATAAACAGAAAATCATTGCACCTTCATCCTATGGAATCACCTCTCCATTTATCCCTTCTACATATTATCAGCCAATGACTTGAACTTTGCTTATTTTAGTTGAAGCATATCGTTTTAAGCGCATATATTAGTTATTTAAACATTCATGAAAATTAGAAGATATCATACTCTTAATTAAAGAGAATTTAGCATGTAATCATTGGGAAATTTGACATGTAATCAACAAACAAATCCATAAATGATGGCATTCATCTACATTTTGAATTTGTAAGAACAGTAATATAAGTATACCCCAGTGGTTGTTCTCTTTCTGTTTGTTTTAATGGAACATACTCTAAATATTTAATAACTGAGAATAGATAAATATTTGAAAGATTTGTTTATACTAAAATACTTCGGTTTTGTTTTAAATATTATCAGACTCCTGTGTGCAATATTTCTTTGATATCATGGAGCATGAGTCAACTTTAATGATGCTGCAGAAGTGGCATACAATAAAAAAAGAAAATCAAATGGTGATTTCAGTGCACCTAATTACGGATTCGTTTAGGACGACTTTTTAATTATTTTTTAAATTAACTTTCTAGTCTAAAAATTATATTTTTTGTATTAGAAAGCTATTTTAGGAAGCAGTAAAAAAGAAATCACAAACGAAGCCTATAATGTTATGTCAATAAGTGCCTATTTATTTCATAGAGAGCATACTTAAACTAATAAAATGTTTACAATAAGGGTATAAGTATCAGCATCAAAGTACTAATGAACATACCAAAGCATCCCTACTAATTGAACATTTACATATTTTCAATAACAAAGGTTGGGGGACCATTTTTAGATGAAATATCCAATGGTAGGAACGATCATATCATTCATGTGTTTTGCAGTAATTAATCATTTTACTATACCAAATTCACATGTAACTAAGGATATCTTCTATGTACATCTATTTCTTGAGTTGGAAACATTTTCTTTCATTCTATTTTATTTTGGATTAATGGTTATTGTGCCATGGTTTTGTTAGTCAAATTGATTTGAAACGATCTTGTATTATGATAGCATTATATGAGCTTAAGTTCACCTACCCCACTCCATGGCCAAATCCCTTCCATTTTAAACTTTATCAAATTGTTGACGAACAACTTGGACTTCCACCGCACCTTCAACCACCATGCCATCAATTGGCCTTCATCTTGCTACCTCCACCCTGATGAGATCACCTCTTCATTTTCTCTTGTATATATATCTATATGTACAAAGTTGTTAGAAGACTTCCACCTCACCATTAACCACCATGTCATTAATTGGCCTATGTCTCACTACCTCTACCCTAATGAGACAGCACCTTTATTTTCTCTCTTCTATATCTATTTATATGTATTTATGCATGTACATATGTAAGAATAATTTATTACAAGAATTCAACCTCACCTTCAACCATTATGTAATCAATTGGCCTCCATCTCACTACCTCCACCCTAATGAGGTTTCCCCTTCATTTTCTCTATTATATATCTATCTACATGTATGTATGAATGTATGAATTTTTTTATGTATGTATGTATTGGCCTCTATCTCACTACCTCCATCCTAATGAGGATGCCCCATCATTTTCTCTCTTATCTATCTTTCTATCTATATGTATATATGTATATGTATTAGCCTCCATCCAATACCACTTTCTTGATGAGGCTTCCCCTTCATTTTCTCTCTTAAATATTTATTTATATGTATGTATATATGTGTACACGTGTAAGTACACATATGCCCTGACTGTATACTTGTACATGCTTTTTCAGATTCTTAATATGTATTTAATAAGTTACAAAGACAGAACTCGAACCACATAGACCTTAACAATGAAGACTCGCACAAGGGTAGTAATCCTCAACTCGATAAAGTGATTTCATGAGAACCAATTCTTAGGGAAACACCAAGGGTTTGAACAGGACCCCTAAGAATTAGAGGACTCATCCCAATTATGTGAAGTACACTCTCAACGAAACTAGTTATTAACCTAAGAAGTGAGCCATAAATGCAATCCAACAAACTAGCTACAAGAAAGGATCATTCCGAGAAGACTCAAGCACGCATCTTCAAGCCCAACTGATCATTGAGTCCACTATCCCCATAACTCAAGTAACTTTCCCATATATAAAGACAACTCAATGACTCCATCCAAGAGGTCAACAATGTCACCAAAAGACTTATCGATAACATCCCTTATTGCTTGAAGCATTCGAGGATTTGCCTCCTTTATGAACATTCAAAATAAGGGAAATCACCCCAAGGATGAGGAGTTGTACCATAAAATAATGACATACCCGATTCTCAGAGCAAGACATGTGTCCAAGTTAGTCCCCATTAGGTATCATTATTATTATACTTTTTTATTTTTGTTGATAAAGTCTTCCTTATTGTACACCCATGAATACTTCTGTAGGTACTTTGTTCACATGTGTCTTATAGTTTACATTTTGATTGAGCAAAAAGGAGGACACACTCAACTCTCGAGGTTGCTCTCTCAAGGGACTCGCTCAAGAACTAGAAGGAGCTTCATGCTGGAGCTTAGCAGATTAGGACTAGTCACCACATCTAAGTTGTCGCCTCCCTCCTAAGGGAAGTGTGACATAAGAAGTCCTTTAAATCATCTATGTTGGTGGATCGATTGGTGGAGGCAGGGATGAGAAGGGGTTAGCTGCTTGGCCAAAGTGAACATGTATGTGATGCACTAGCTTGAGTTTTTCCCTTTATGCTGAGTTCTGGGGGTTGGGATTGTTTTAGGGGTTTTCTTATGTCTTGTTGGGTCCTGTTATGTCCTTCCCTGGTACTGTTGGTGGGTTTTTGTTTGCAGGTTGTTTCTGGAGTTCGGTAGCCTGTTTTGGTTGCTGTTTGGTGGTGTCCTGATGTTTTGTGGCTGATTTTGGCTTGTTCCAGAATTGATAATGGTTTTTGTTGGGTGGTGTCCTGGTGTTTTGTGGCTGATTTTGGCTTGTTCCAGAATTGATAATGATTTTTGTTGGTCGAAGTGCTGTTGTTAGGTTTTTTGGAGGCCATTTTAGTAGTTTGTTTGCTATTATTATGATTTAGAGCTAGTTTGTTGTTTAGTTGCAGATTTGGAAGGTTGGGGTTTTTTTGTTTTTCTGTGTTAGGTCAAATTCTTTATGCTATCTTCCTGTGCTTGGAGGTTCTCTTTTGTCGAGGTTGCTGTGGCTTTTATTTGAGGCTTGAAGGCTTTTGGATGTGAGGCCTGTTTGCTATCATCTTGTGCTTGGTGGATCTCTTTCGTGGAGGTTGTTATGGTTTTTTTATGAGTGTTGAGGATATTATGTTAAATAGCAGCTAGCTATTTGATTTCAATGTTGTAGCCTCGTGTGTTTTTTGGAGGTGTTTTTACATGGTTGGGTTGTTTTTTCTTTCCATTGGCTCTATTGGTATTGGGTCTTGTGATTATGATTTTTAGATTTTTCTTTGATGGATCTTTTTTCCATCCTTTTTTATTCTTTGCAGGATCTGTTGATCCTTGCTTCTTTTAGTTTTTCTTCTAATTTTTAAGAGTTTTTTCTTTCCTTTGATTAGGTTCTAGTTTGATTTGGTAAGTTTTTCTTTGTTTTTTTCTTATTATTCATTTGTAATCTTTGTAACTTTTTACTTTTTGGAATGAAATTGGTCATGCTTGGCCCTATTTTTTCCTTAAAAAAAAAAAACTTGAGGCAGTCAAGGGAGCATGTGATATTTGAAAAAATTTGCAAGTGCAAATGATGGATCAGAGGAAGTTTGATCAAGAGCTTGTTGCTGCTTGTGTGAGGAAGTTTGTCTGGCTAAGTAAAAGGTGTGTTTTTGTTCAAGGCTAATAACTATGTTTGTTCTTCCCAAGATTCATATTATCATATTAGCTCCTATAATTAATCAGATAATAATATATTAAAGTTCACATGATTATGACTACAATAGAATCAATCTCAAAATCAAATAAATTTTTAAAACATCTAAGACCTCGTGGTTTTATTTTATTCTTTTTATCCTTGAAGTTTATTCATGTCAACATCTAAAATGTACCTACTCTTGACTTCATGTGCGGGGAAGAAATTATTTTTAATTGGCAAACCTTTGCTTGTTGATTTTCAAGAATCATTATGCAAAATTTTAGATTTTATTTGGGACAGCTTTCTCAATGCTTTCTGATACAAAAATTTTTAGCTCAAAAAATTATTTTAGAAAGCAAGAAGAAAGTTGTCCCAAATGAGACCTCAATTATTTCTTCTTAGGCTTCGCTTGAGACAGCTTTCGTACTGCTTTGTAAAACGGTTTTCTAGTACAAAAATTTCAAATTCAAGAAATTTGTGAATAAATTTTTGTACCAGATAATTGTTTTAGAAAGCAAGAAGAACGCCGTCACAAACAAATCTTAATTGGTAACTCTTAGTTAATAATAATGACATTAGCATATTTGGTGGCTGCCAAGTCAAAAGTGTTCTTTTGAATAAAGCTAGAATAGTTAATCAAAGACATACTCAAACAAACCAAACAGTATAAGTTACAAACAATTTTTTTTATAAAGTTGATACACAATTAGTGAAAATTAATTAATATTAAACCATTTGATTTTGATGTGCATGCAGTTTAATAATGGAAATTAAGCATGCCAAACCACAAAGCTCGGCCACTAATTGGCTCCCATGCAACTTCACCAATGCACTAACTGCCTAGGCGTGCTCTTGGCTAAAATGGTTTGCTCACAAATTTTTAGGGCGAATTATCGCGTCCGGTGACCGGATGTCCGGACATCCAATCCGGTGACGCCACGACACCCATATATACTGGGTCCCGATATATTTTGGTGACGTGGCAACACCAGATTGGTGTCCGGATGAATCCGGACACCGGACGCAATAATTTGCCAATTTTTAGAGAGTTCCAATTTTGAGTTCACTTTGCGGATTTTTTCGAGATAGTATTTATTATTATGCTGAGTCGAATTTAATTTTGTATGTGGGGTCGGTTACCTAAAGCATTTTTTTTTAATTATGATCTATTAAGAATCAAATTCTCATTTAAATCTAATAAACAAATGTTATTCTAATACTTTCTAATCAAATCTTTCTTAACTTTGGCAGAATTTAATGCATCTACTCTCATAATCGGGTCATCAGAAGGCTATCACTTGATGTGACCAAACCATCTAAGATGACTCTCTCTAATCTTTCCAACCGTACGAGCTGCCCTAACCTTATCTCGTAACATATATTTTGTAGCTTAATAAAATTTATATTGAATAGACTTAAAAATGATTAGAATATCTTTCAAATCAGTGTAATATAAATTCTTCATTTACGAACTAATAATTTTTAAGTGTATTTCTGACTTATCTTAATTAGATTTATGTTTCGTTTATGATAACTTTTTGTTACTTTTTAAAACAGTTTTTTTTACAAAAATTTATTGAATTAAAATTTTTTGTACTAAAAATTGTTTTATAAAATAGTAAAATGCTATCACTTAGACTTCGTTTAGGACAACTTTTTTTTTTTGTAGTTTTTTAAAGTAATTTTTAGTATAAAACATTTTTAAACTAAAACTTTTTATTTAAAAAAAAAATACTTTAAAAAATAGTAAAAAAATTGTTACTAATGAAACCATAGTTATAGTAAGTTATACATACTAAGGAAAAAAAAAGTGTTATATGCTTATATGAACAACTAATAAGAATAAATTTGTTTGAAGAAGAGAAAGTTATTCTAACATTTGCTATTGAAAATCAACGCTTTCCATTGTTTCCATTATTAAATAATTATTGTTTTTCATATATTTTAATTAAAATAAGAATATTATTGTTTTTTAAAAACAATATTAGAAATTACATATATATTTAATAGGATGAGCACTTGAAAACTATAAATTATTACATGCGTCACCAGATTGTCTGGAAATGAATCAGGATATGTCACATCACCCTCGGTACACAACGGTGTACATCAAAATGATGACTAGACGCGTTTTAATTCGTCTCCGAACGATGTCCAACCTACTCGAAAACGCTATCAGAAGTTTTATTTTATTTTATTTTATTTCAACCGAAAGCTATAGTTTCAAGCGCTGATATTAGATTATGCTAAGTTAATAAAATAATTTACACGGCTCAACTTGGCCTGTTGGTTGAGAGCTTAGGCTTCCAACTAAGATGTTTGGGTTTGAGTCTTTGTGTATGTATTATGTGTCTGAATTTGCCTTAAATAACGTAAATGTCAAAAAAAAAAAAAAAAAAAAAAAAAAAAAAAAAAAAAAATTTCTGCAGTGTGAAGAAGAAGCTCTCTCTTTCTCTTTCGACCATGAGTCTCCTTTTACGCTGCCAAAGTCCAACCTATTTGAAAACCCCAAGAAAGAGACCCCTCCTCCAAGCGTACAGGCTACAATTATATTCCCCCCTTCTCTCTTCAACCTCTTCTCCCTATTTCAGACTGAAGGAAGCAATCATTCTCATCCATTTCTCTAGTTTCTGCTGTACAAAACCAACTCCACTTATTTCCGCCTCCCATTTTGACTTCTTCCCTATTGTGCCAGCTCATTCTCTGAAAAAAATTGCATCTTGGCTTGACTCTCCCCTTCCCTTTCATCTCGTCTGGGTTTTCTTGATTTCTTCCTTTTGAGCCGTCACTTGGTTTGCTTTTTTCCTCTTCTTGTCGTCTGCGCTTGCTTGATTTTGATTGTTCTTTTTTTCTTGTCGGGGTTTGGGCTTGTAGATCTGTTCGCGGAGGTCTCCGATCCGCGGTTTCAGTAGAGCGAGTCAGTCAATGGGAGTCGCCATTGCTAAACCTTTACTCCTTGTTTAGGTCTATATCTTGACTATTTCTGCAGTGAAAGCTGATGAATTCGATTGGGTTTGTTTTGTATGCGGGTGCGATAGCTTGTTAGGATTCTGATATCTAGGCTTTGTGCCTCCACTACTTATGATGCAAGAATACCGGGAGAGGATTCTGCGGGTTAAGGGATTTTTTGGTTTTTTGCGGCGGCTTTCATCGCCGTCGGCGGTGACCTCGCTGCTTACGTGCTGCTGCTTCTATAGAGCCGTCGGGGCGCTCATCCATTCTGGCTTTTCTTTGATAGAGTTATCATCGGTTCTGGATCGTTTATGCTTTGCTAGATAGGGTATGGGAAACAGCAGTTCTCGGGTCATTGGTTGCTTCGTGCCTTCAGGCAATGGAAATGATGGAAACAATTTGGAGTTCTTAGAGCCCTTAGATGAAGGGCTTGGCCATTCCTTCTGTTATGTTAGGCCAGTGATCGTCGACTCTCCCGCTCTAACTCCATCCACTTCTGAGAGGTACACTGTAGATTCAAGTAACCTCAGTTCTGAGATACAGAGTGGCTCTTTTAGGCAGGAAGCGAGTGCAGAGGAGGTGGCTGGCCTGAACAGGCCAAATAGTAAGAACCTCTCTGAAACTACTTTTAAGACCATTTCTGGTGCCTCAGTCAGTGCCAATGCTTCTACCGCCAGGACTGGCGGCAATCTGAATGTTTTGCTCTCTTGTGATGTCCAGGAGCCAGCTGCTTCATTTGAGAGCACGGCTTCATTTGCTGCGATACCTTTGCAGCCGGTGCCTCGAGGATCCGGACCCTTGAATGGCTTTTTATCGGGGCCATTGGAGAGGGGCTTTGCTTCAGGCCCTTTGGAAAGAGGGGCAGGATGCATGTCAGGGCCATTAGATAGAGGTATGTTTATGTCCGGTCCTCTTGACGGAACAGAGAGATGCAATTTTTCTGCTCCGCTTGGTTATGGTGAGAAGAAGGCTGGGATCAAACGGCTTGTGAGGAGTGTGAGCAGACCCATGAGACGTGCTTTCTCTCGAACATTTACAAAACGCTTTCAGGGTTCTGGTTGGATGCAGAGAGTCCTTCTGCATCCAAGGAGGCAGATGGTTTGGCGTTCGAAGGAGGAAAATTTTAGACAACCAACCTCACAGAATTGTGTTGATCTTGGGTCGTCTGAACCTGAGTATAGAAGTACGAGGAACTTACAATGGGCTCATGGTAAGGCTGGGGAGGACAGGGTTCATGTTGTTCTGTCTGAAGAACAAGGGTGGCTATTCGTTGGGATATATGATGGTTTCAGCGGTCCTGATGCGCCTGATTTTCTTATGAGCAACCTTTACAGGGCAATAGATAAGGAATTGGAAGGCTTGTTGTGGGATTATGAAGATGAAGTTCAAAGGGGTTCACCTACCACTGTTATTTCTTCAAGCAATGTTCCGTGTTCTTCAGAATGTCTGCAAGAAAAATGCATCCATCCAACGCTCCAGAATAACAGCGCTGAAATACAACTTTCTTGTTCTCAATCGTGTAATGATCAATGGCCAGAAGAAGTTACTCCACCATCACCATCAGAACAAAATGAAAGAGGAGGGAATCCTAATGTAGGGGATGAGTTAGAAAGTGAATCAGTACGTGGCGATGACACTTTAGAAGGTACAATGACGCCCAGGGAATCAGATTTTCACGAAGTAGGCGTTGTAATGAACCAAAACCAGTGTGCAAATCTTGATGAAACGAATGCAGATGTAGCCACTGACGGTAATCTAAAGGATGCTTCTTGCAGCCCTAAAGGTAACTCATTGAGTACACACAGGAAGAGCAAGCGACTATATGAGCTTCTTCAAATGGAACGTGTAGAAGACTCCAAAACAGTGGAGTATAGTTTGGCACTGGATACTTTACGTGGGAACACAGGAGATCCACTTTCAAATTTTCATGGAGATTTATGTGCTACAGAGCATGTAGAAGAGACACAGAATTTTTCCTGCTCCATGAGCACCAAGGGAGAAAGTTCAGGTCGCCTTGACGTAGTTGGTTGTGTAAGAGAAAGTGAAGGTACGCTTGAAGGGGCATCCAATTGCTCAAGGCAATTAGTTGAGCCTTCAGTTTCATCTTCAGGACAAAAGCAGATGATGAAGAAATCATTGATTGGATTCAAGCTGGGACAAATGTATAAGAAGCAGAAATCATTACGTAAAAAACTTTTTCCATGGAGTTATGATTGGCACAGAAACCAACACCATCTGGATGAGACGGTAGCCAATCCTTCATTTGTCATTAGGCGATGCAAGTCTGGACCTGTGGATCATCATGCTGTACTAAAGGCAATGGCAAGAGCGCTTAAAACTACAGAGGAAGCTTACATTGACATGGTGGAAAAGGCTCTTGATACAAATCCCGAGCTTGCACTGATGGGATCCTGTGTTCTTGTGATGTTGATGAAGGATCAAGATGTTTATGTCATGAATCTTGGTGACAGTCGTGTTGTATTGGCACAAGATAGACTAATTGGCTACTATGGTAGTTCTGATCTTGGAACAGATGGTTCAAGGTGCCGAAATAGGCCAGGGGGCTCTCTGGTTCACATGGAGCTAGACAGGATATCAGAGGAATCTCCTATGCGCAATCAAAATAACCATATTTGCAGTATTAACAAGAGCAAGGAAATCTCTCTCTGTGGACTAAAAATGCATGCGGTTCAGCTGTCCACTGATCATAGTACCAGCATTTACGAGGTAATATGTACTGATACATCTAGTCTTTGTTTCACTTGTAGCTTAATCATCAGGCATATTAAATGCATTTTGCTTCAAACAAGAAAGTTCAGATTGTCTTAAATGCAAAAAAATCATACTTCATTTACCACAATCTGTTAGACTACTCTTTAAGGTGCTATTAAAAAAAGTAGTCATCGAGAGAACTTCTTCTGGTGATGTTGCCATTGATGGCAAGAAGGCTAAGATGCCTATGAAAGAATCTGAGAATGTTGTTTTAGAGTTTATAATAAGCGAGCTCTTAAGTTTTACTGAAGAAGTTCATATCAAAATAAGATCTTCTCTAGAAGGGATGACAAATGTTTGTTTATATAGTCATAACTCATCTTGGGTTTACAAATTGAATATGTACTTGAATGAACTTCAAGTTGGTGATCTTTGAGTGAAGTCATTGATTCTTGATTTGTTTTTGGATTGTTATTGTTTGGGGAGCCCTACTCATGAAATTACTTAAAAAAAAGGCATTAAGTTTAGCTTCATATGAACCAAAGAGCTAGGCCTGAAAAGAAAGAGGTCTCTCTAGTTGTTGAGAGAGCTTCTTAGATTTTTTATTTAACATTAAGGCAATAAAGTGACCTACCTATATGACTATGGAACTACTATTGTTTTGAATTTTCTTATAAATAAGCCCATTTGGGCAAATGAGTTTCTTTTATGCACTTTGGAGTCTTGAGTTCATGTACTTTTTTTTTCTTCTCATTCTCATCTTCCTTGAAATTAATCCATGAAATTAGAATTAGAATAAGAACTTGAAATATAGGTCATTTTACAGACAAATTAATAGAATTAATAGATATTATGATTCATAGGAATATTAATATTTATGTATTTAGGAAACTAAATGGGTTTGAGAGAAGAATAATGAGATTGATATTTTAAGATTTAAACTATGATATTCATTTAAGATTCGTATTAAAAATGATATAGGTGTGATTATAAATAAGGGTTTGAAGAATAGTGTTGTAGAAATTAATAGAATGAAGATAAAATTATAGCTTTAAATATTATTATTCTTAAAGAAATAGTTTTTTATTGGACGAGATTTAAATTGACATGTTAGTAGAGTGGAGTGGTAGAAGGTTTTAAAAATATTCATGGTGGCTATGAGTTTGAAGTGACTAATAATGAAGGTGGTCGGATCATAATACATTTTGTTTTAGCTTATGATTTTATAATTGCTAATATTTTAGTTAAAAACAAGGGGCATCTCATCACTTATATGAATGGATATAGTAACACTCAGATTTATTATTTTCTTATAATAAAAAAAGATAGTTCAAATTGCAAAGATTATAAAGTTATTTTGAGTTAAAGTTTATGTACTCAGCATCGCTTATTAATTATGGATTTTAAGATAAAGGAGTAGAATATAAAAAATAAAGTAAAATATTGTCCTAAGATTAGATGAGATATTTAAGTACACTAACAAAAATATTTTTGAGAGAAAGATTGAAGATCTTAAGATTTTGATTGTGCATGAGGAAGCTAATGTTATGGGGAAAAGTAATTAGTGATATTAAAAATATTTCAAAGGATGTGTTTGGAGTATCAAAAAAAAAATCTTTTAATTATAAAAATAGTTAGTGGTGGAATCAAAATGTGTAATAAAAGATAAAAAATAAGAAGTTTTGTTATAAAAATTGGTTTAGATATAAAAGCTCATAAAAATTGAGAAAGATATAAATGCTTTTGTTTAGTGGTGATAGTACTAGTTCTAATGGCGGGATTGTGATTTTGGGCAATCAAATAATTAATAAGAGTACACGTTTTAAATATCTCGGGTTTGTTGTTCAAAGTGAGGGTGAAATAGATCGGGATATTATTAGTAGAATTCAAGTTGGATAGTTGAAGTGGAGGAATGCATATGACCTTTTGTATGATAGAAAAATACCCTTTAAACTTAAGGGAAAATTTTATTAGATGGTGGTGAGACCTGCAATGCTTTAGGTGCAGAATGTTGGCCATCAAAAGAGAAGCATAAAATTAAGTTAAGTGTTGCAGAGATGATGATGCTCAGGTTAATGAGTGGCTTACTGGCTTCATTCCTTAAGCATCCTCATCTCTTAGAGACAAAATGAGAAATGAGTACATATGTGAAAAGGTTGGAGTAGCTCCTGTGGTAGATAAGATTAGAAAGGGTCACCTTGGATGGTGTGGTCACATAAAACATTGGCATTTCGATGACTCGATCAGGAGAGTAGATGTATTAGATTTGACCTATATTAAGAAAGGTAGAGGTAGACTTAAAAAGTTTTGGTTAGAAAATATTAGAAATGACATTTTTTTTTATAGATTTAAATGAGAATTTAACTCTTACAAGACACTTTAGAGACAAAGGATTCATATAATCGATCCCGCGTAGTACGATAAACGCTTGATGTTGTTGTTATTGTTGTCGTCTCATCTTCTTTGTAAAGGGATGGTTGTAATGTTAATCAAGAGTTTGAAGACTTTCATAAGTTTTAAGTTAAAGCCCTCTTATGTCGTGATAAGAGATAATTTTAAGTTATTTCAAAATCATGATGGTTTAAAAGACAAAAAGTTCACTAATAATGTCATAGAAGTAGGTCAGTGCCCAACTCATTTTATGTTCACAAATTATGCTTTTATTTAGATCAATTTCATTTTGACCTTCGACTTCCATTCAACGAAGAAATGATTGACATCATGAATTTCTATAATATTATCCTTGCTCAGTTAGTGTTCAATTTCTTTGCAAGCATTATTGCTTCATATATTTTTCCTTCGAATAAAACAAGCAAAGTTGAGTGTTAAATTTTCTCGATATATGTTCACTATCAAGGCTTGCAAAGATTGATGTGTTTTATTTTGCTGTAATTACATTAGAATAGGATAAATGACTTAGAGAATAAGGTGAATGATTGAAAATTGAAATACTTTTTCATGAAGTTGGCTAATGGATGATCAATTAAATGAAATCGACTACTTACAATGGATACGCTTTTGCAATCTTTCCCTTTCTTAGTGGAATATAAACAATTCATGAATATGCATAATCAAAGTCTAGATTGGTGCCTTTATATGATTGAGATGAGAATAAAGCCAGCTTTTGGATATAAATTCTTGAGTTGTTTCTTTTGTGCATTCTCCTTTTCCTTTTTAAATTTTAAATTCTTATTTCCCATCCATTTTATAAGAGGGATAATTCCTGCAAACTTTGTTAATGTCATCCTTGAAGTCCCTGAAGTGATGGCTTTTATGGGAGAGGTTAAGAAGCAAATGCCCCTTTTGAGAAAGAGATGTTGAAGAAGTGGCCAAAAAAGAAGCTTTGTTGAGGAATATTTTTATAGAGGGGATAAAAATTACTGATGAAGTTGCTTCTATTAGCTTAGCAATTCTGTCGACATTTTCCACTTATTTCTTTGTACCCACTATTGCTACTATTGAGATAGATATTGTTGATTCGAGTATGATTTTAGTGTTTAAGAAGTTGACGTTATCCCGTCATTTTTCGTTTGTTATCAATGATGCTGCAACAACAAAGAAGGGGATATCGGCTAAAATGATCTTCTAGTATAGACGAGTTTGTAGTCCTTCGTTTAAGTTTCTCTAATCATTGAATTCTCGTTCTTCAAGTTATAATGTTGTGCCAACTCTTTGGCTTTGAAGATTATATCTAACTAGCGGTAAGGTTTATTGTTCATGCAATAGTGTAAATGGTGTTTGTTCATTCATCGTGTTCATTGATCAAAGAGGATTTGATATGTGGAGCTCATACCACTGGAGGCAATGTTTCAGCCTATTTGCCTTTGACACCTTCAAATTATTTATGCAGGAGATTGGATATTCATCTTTGAATGATGGACTGAAGTGATATGCGATAAAGCAAATGGTGTTTTTTTAGTTGTCAAAGATGACTTGGTTTGTAGAACCCTAAGTATTGAGGGTAGTGTTTTAACCCATTTGCATTGGTGCCTTCAACTTTTTATGAAGAAAATTACCCATTCGTCTTAGGATGATAGACTGAGCTAAAATTGAGGTGAATTTCCTAATTGCTAATTTTTTTTACATTCTTTCAATAGCAAATTGGTGATCATTATCATTAATTATCATCATGGGTAAGCTATATTGACAAATGATGTTGATCCATATGAAGTTGCAAATAACTATTGCATTGAATTTGGCTAAAGCTTTGGCTTCGACCTTTTTACAAAGTAATTAATAATGGCCAAAGTAATTAAGTATGACCAGAAGAAGCCTTCTTTGACCGCTTGCCATAGGAAAGGGTTGAATTGATCTATTACCTAGGCAATGAGTGGACAAGGATTAGTTATTCGCGGTAGTTTGTGAGAGGACAAAAGCATGGTGCAAATTCTATACATCCAATACATCTCTTGGATAATTCTTCAACATCTTTCCTTGAACTTGGTAAAAAATAACCTTGTCTCAAGATTCTATTGGCAAATATCTTTTTACTAGATGGATTTTCATATTCACCAAAAAGAATCCCCTTTAAGATGTTGACAATTTTAGATTCTTGCACGCATAGGAGGTTTGTTGAAGTAGTTGATTTTCTAAATAACTTACCATCAAGAAGAAGGTGCTGAGTGGTTTAATTTCAAACCTTCTATGACCTTTAATAGTAGATAAAGATCTTTCGAAGTATAAATATTCAATGAAGAGATCCATCTAGCTAGAGGCGACTTCAACTTGTATGACTTAAGCTTTTTTAATGCTTGGGTAAGTTTAATATACAACAACAAGAACATCAAGCCTTTATCCTAGTACGTGAGGTTGGCAACATGAATCTTTTTTCTCCATTGTGTCTTGTTAAGTGTCAAATTCTCATTCAAATGCTTGGGTAGGTTCAATAACTAATTTAATTTGCTCAAATGTAACACTTCAAGTAGCACCCAATAGATTGTGGTGATACGTTGTTGAATTTGAACTAGTTGCCTTCAACTCATAATCAAGAATTTTGGTTTTTGCTCGAGCCAAGTTCAAGTTGAGTAAAATATGTTTGCTTTCGAATCAACCGTCTTGTTGATTCAAGTCAAGTTTGATAATTTATATAATAAAGTTTAATTGCTACTAATGATAATTATATATTTTTGTGTATTTAATATTTATTTATAGAGTTATATTACAGAATACAATATTTATATATACTTATATGTGTATATATATATACTTTTTATTTTGAGTAATCATTTACACAGATATACATATTTGTTTTAAAGCACATTTATGTGGCAGCTTATATCATATATCTTGTTAATTTCAAGTTGAATCAAATTAAATTTGAGTGGGACATCTTTTAGTTGGAGCAGATAGATTGTGATTTTAATTTGATTAAAATATAAATGTTTACTAAGTGAGTTATAGATATAGGAAAACTTTTCTTACCTAATTGATGTACATAGGACAATAGTTTTCTGTTACGTCGAGCCTGGCTGGACCGGTCCAGACCAGACCGGTCCGGTTCTACGTGAGGAAGCGGGGAGCTCCAGGCGGAGCTGGCAGGGAGGGCGGAAGCCATGTGGAGCCCACCTTGGGTTAAATGCAATGTTTGGAGGGAAATTATTTGAGGGAAGGGCTGTTTAGGGAATTTGCTTGAGTCCTTTCTTTTTAAGTAGGAGTTTTGGAGGGTTTTAGACTATCTTGAATTTGAATGAAATTGGAGATCTAGGGTTTGTTCTTCTTGGGCTCTAGGGTTTGCTAGAGTTTTGGAGAGTTGTTTCTTCCTCTCGAATTGAAGGAACGTGTATCTTTTATTATTTTCTTGAATCCTTTAATGAAAGATCTTGTTTTGCTTGAGATTTCTTCCACTGATTTGCTGTAAGTTGCTGTTTTCTACTGAAAAACTGCTGTTTTCTGCTACAAAACAGCAGTTTCCTCTTCGTTTTGTGCTGATTTTGGTTAGGTTTGCTTGCGAACTCAAGTATTACCTTAGGGTTACTTGCGAACTCAAGTATTTCCTATCATTTTCCTGCATCATTCAACCTTATTTGGAGTACGCAGCGCAATAGTTTTCATATGATATGCTGCTTTATTACATATCTCTTGTTCTTTTCCTACTCTCTGAAATTTCTTTCTACGTTTTTCAGTTGTATTTATCTAATACGAATCAATTTTCTCCTTATGCATTGAATCCCTGTAGGAATTTATCACATACCGAAGAACATTGTTTAATTTTGATTTGCTGGATATGACAATGTGTTGCATGCATTTTTGCCATACTCAGTTCTTGTATGGCATTGCAAATATTAGCCGGAACTCCAAAAAATCTAAAAATTAGAACAAAAAATATACAATCTGTCCTTCAGCTATTGCATAATAATTTCCAATAAGTTGAAAATGCTAGTATTACAACAGGAAAAACACTTCTGTAAATTGCATGATAGCTATAGATTATATAAGTCTTCTTTTTCTGCTTTAGTTAATTTTTTTGGAGATCATTGATCAAAATGTTTTGGACTTTTTTTTGGGATCAATGATGAAAATGTTTTGGACATTTTTGACATCTATACCTACTTTGATATTTCCATTAGTTCTCACAACTTTTTCATCGGTGTCTTTGATATGTTTCGTGTTTGGGTTTTACAGGAAGTTTTGAGGATTAAATCAGAACACACCGATGACCCTCAAGCAATATTGAACGACAGGGTAAAGGGGCAGTTAAAGGTTACTAGAGCATTTGGAGCTGGTTTTCTTAAGAAGGTTAGTTAACATATTAACATAACTAAATATTTCACATAGACCTTTATTTGATGGTTTCTCAGCATAAAATATTAACAGAGTTGCATGCATACCACCAAATTCATCATTAATGACATATTCAACAGCCTAATATTATTATTTTATTCTATAAATTTAATTCTTATGAATACTAATACATTACCATCCCATCATTGAAACCTTGTTGTGAACTATGTTTCTGTTTACCTTTAGTTAACCCAAACCGTTGGCCCTTCCACAACTACAACCAATTTTCTCTAATTCATTTTTTCTTGCTTGAACCCTAACGAAGATTGGGTGCTTGATGTTGAATGAACCAAGGCCCTCATCCCAATCTCACATAATTCTTTCCGCATAAGAGCATTTCCATGGTCTTTTGGTGGAGGCAATAAGGAATTCCGGGCACTGTGGAGTATATGGGTGATCACTTTGGAAGCAACAATTTTTGGGTTAAAAGCTATGTCAAATCAATGGATAATGGACTCAATTCAAGCTGAAAATCGGCAAGAGAATATAAGTTATCCCTGTGTGATGATAATTCATGCAGAAAATGACCCAAAATCATCATTTATACATGGTTTCATGCTTTCTTATCAAGGAACTGAATTTTTCTTAGGAATAATCAAGATCAAGTTTTTAAGAAGTCAACCTAATGTCATACTTCAGGCTGTGCATGATGATTCTAGCCTCTATTGAGGGAGGATGGATTGAAATTCAAAAGACTTAGATTATCATGAATTTAGTTAGGAATTATGAAATCTATTTGATAGTTTATCAAAGAAATGTCATAAGCTTTTTATGTTGGAAAACCTAGAAACCTCGATTAGCCATTTCCTAAACCTTACACGAAATACTAATCCAAAAAATCGTAGAGTTCATGTTCTAGTATCAAATTGATCATATTTTAGGAACTCTAAACATTTGGTGGTTCACGTTTTAGCTATAATGCACTGACATTTTTCATCGAAGAGACGTGCGTTATCCGACACGACACGCCCGACACGTGTCGGACACACCGAAAATGTGTCCAATTAAAAAAAATATTAAATACAAATTAGACACGTGTATCTTAAATATTTTATGATTTTTTTTAAAATATAATTTCTTATGTTTAAATTTTTTACTTATTTAAAATATAAAAACTAAATTTTATCTATAACACCAAATCAATTGCCCGCACTTAATACCCCATTCATCAAATATTCTCATTTTCACTTCTCTTTGGCGGACTACAACTTTGATTTCACAACAATGTTTAATATCATCTCCATATCAAAGTCTGACGCTATCTTTACATTGATGCTCGATGCTAGTAATTTCTACACCAAAAACTTGACATCTCATCTTTGTCCAACGCCTTCTCAACATCGACGACCAACGTCCTCTCAACATCAACGATAAACACCTTTTTAACATTGATGCCCAATATTTATTGCATAACATCAATGCCCGACTCTCGACAACATTGTCATGTCCTCTCTCGATGACTGATAAACGACTTCGATGTCCGACTTTCGACATCTTAATATTAATCATTTTAAGCACAAATTTTAGTTAAATGACTTATTATTTTTAAATTATTTTTATAATTGTACTTATTTAAATTTTATTCTATTTTTAAAATAGAAAAACTATAATACCGTGTCCAACCCGTGTTCGTGTCCTATATTTTCAATAATTGATGTGTCCAGTGTCTGTGTTGTGTCGTATCTGTGTCGCCGTGTCCGTGTCTGTGCATCATAGCGTTTTAGTATCAAAAAATTTAAACACTACCCCATCTATTCTATAAGCTTATGCATCATCATTCCTAGATCAATTAGTTTTTTGATAGATCTATACTCTGCTATAAGGCTGATCTTATATCAATTCGGATACATTTGTATTCCATAACTAGAATGATTCTCGATTACTTTACTATTAGTAATAGTTCTGCCTATATGATTGAATATCATAGGTAATCTAGGTCATGGGTTGTCCAATTTATCAACTTTAACTCAGAAGATGTAGGAGAAGATGAAATAATTATAGTTAGTCGTTGCTGAATTACTTGATCAAGTATCCTCGCACTTTTCCCATATCTAGAGAGAATCATATCTCCATTGAATTCTTGAAATTATTTAGCAAAAATTTGTAAGAGCCCTCATGAATGGGGTAAAACATTGTATTTTATTAGTAGAGAAGGGTACGCATATATAGGTAAATAGGGTGAATACAATAGACAATTAATAAATCGAAATATCTTTTCAATTAGGAGGATGAAAATGAAATCATGCATAGAAATTATTAAAACATGTAATAATATTATTTTCAATAATCTCCCTAAGCAGGGGCAGATACAACTTTTTTCAGGGTGAGCAAAATTTTAATTAATTAGACGACAACAACAATAATAATAATAATAATAATAACATTAAATGATAATAATAATAATAATAATAATAATAAAATTAAAAAAAAAAATTTAACCAACATAATGCTATTAAATTTATAAGAGGAATTTTTTATAATTTATTCGTAAAAAGAAAATGTTCGGAACTTCAGATGGATGTGAAAACAATGCGAAATGGGTCATATTAAGACAAAAATTTATTTTTGAGGGGGGGCAAAATTTCAAAATTATCCCTTCTATACATTAATTTTTTTTTTAGGGTGGGCAAATGCCCACCCTCACATATGAGGGGATCCGCCCATGTCCCTAAGCTAGAGCATATATATCAATTTGTTCTAGCTTGTTATATAAGTCAAAAATTGAAGTGGAACCAGAGCATTAGGAAAATATCTACTATTTGTTTCAAGCCCCGAACATAGGTGTAATGATTTTCTTTGAAGTAACATTTCCTGAATAAATCAATCTACTTCAATGCGTTCTATTATTTTTTATGAAACATTAGATTAATTACAATTTAGATAGTAATAGGGCTTTAATAATTTATGATCATAGGTTGAGAAATTAAAAAATTATTTTTTTCCTAGGGGTCTTAATCCACATCATTTCATCTGCAAAATATGTTATGACTCTATATTATGCATCAATGCTTGATCTTGCTACCATAGTTTTCTTTTTCCTACAGTCACATGTAACAAAATTGCTTCTTATTATGGTATATTATATGGATGTGGATTTCCTATCTTTAATAGACTCAATATAGTCAGTATTAGATTAGATTTTCACATTAAAATGTCAATATTCTGTTTATAGAAATCCTATCTCTGATTATTTTTTTATCTATTTGAGAATAAAAAGAAGAGCCTCCCAATTTTTTTGTTCAGGAGTTCGCTTGCATTGATTTACAACTTTGACAACAAATTATCTATCTAGCTTGTTGACATAGGTAGATTAGTTTCTTGAGAAACATCTTCAAACATCTCTTATCTACTTGTAATATTCTAATTATCAATATGTGTGCTAATAGGTTTGCAACCTAGTAGACTAATTTCATCAAAAAGATCAATTACATATTTTCTTTGAAGTTATGACACTCATTTTTTATTGGCATACGCAATACCCAAGAAATAATTAGGCTGACTTAGATCTTTTATCATAAATTACTTTTGAAGATAATGCTTTACTTCAATAATCTAATGAATTACTCTTAGTAGAAGGATGACAACAACAACATCAAGCTATCCCACTATACGTGGGGTAGAAGGATGACATCAACCCAAACTTTCAAGATAACAAAACTGAATGAATTTCATCGAAGGATGCTAAAGTGATCCATCGAATTGTTCTTAAGGCTGAGTTTAGCAAGAACTTTTGCAATATTTATTGAACTAAGCTTGAGGAATTTGTTCAAGTAAATATATGAATTTGTTGAGTTTGCATATTTTGGCTTTCCCCTGAGCTACGTACCCAAGTAGTTTCTTTATGCATGTAGCTTTTGTTAGGCCACAATCGATGAAGGCATTTTTGATAGCCAGTTGAAGTAAAGGCCATCCTTGATTGATGATGTGAATAAAAGGATTCAGACAAAATTAAAAAAGTATAAGTGAGAATATGTCAAACATAATAGATCCCATAGATTTGATTGAATCCTTTGTCAATCAGATGAGCCTTGTACTTATTCATGGTGGAGATTGGATGATTCTTAAATTTTTAGACCATTCAACATCTAGTTTAATGTTAGGAGGAGGTGGCATAAGTTCACATGTTCATCGATTAAGCAAGATAAACATTTCAATATCTATATCTTGTTTTTTCCATTGAGTGACTTTGGCCTCTCAGTATGTTATATGATAAAGTCACAACTAAATGCTAGAAGTCAAAGAATAGATGGTTAAAAGGTATATAAGATTTAATAGGATGCTCAGTATAATAACTTTCACTTTTTCAAAAGGTAACATTTATATGGAGATTTGATATTATTCAATATGGGGATGCTCAGCTATATTAAATGTGTTCAACATGTGTAACATATAGAAGAGGTGGTATAATAATCATAAAAAGAAGTGAAATTGGTGGAGAAGAGTTATAGACTATGATGCACCGACACTTCTCCTCAAAGAGGCGTGCAGTGTCCGACACCGTGTCCGACACGACACTCGTCCGACACTCCTCCGACACGTGTCGGACAAGTCGAAAACGTGTCCGATTAAAAAATATTAAAAACAAATTGGACACGTTTGACGAGATTTAAACTAAATTTCTTATTTTCTATCCACAACACCAAATCAACGTCTGCATTTAATACCCATTTATCGAATATTCTCATTTTAATTTCTCTTTGGCAGTGAAGGTATTTTCATCTCCTCTCTTTTTGCACAATTACAAATCTTTCTCTTGTTGAACCAGAATTGAAAGCAGTGATATTTAATGATGTTGATATTGAAGGCCAAAAACAAACCTCTAAAGCTAATCATAGTAGTTGAAGCTTGAATGCTTGATGTTGTAGTAAGTGATTATTTGCTTATATTTTTGTGGTTGTACTGGATATTTTGTACTAAATATTTTATATTATAAGCTAGCCAAGTTATCATGTCATTCATTTATTATTGTTTGTCATTTTTAATATGATATTACATTAATATATATATACTATATAAAAAAATGTATTATCGTGTCCGCGCCGTACCCATGTCCTATATTTTCAAAAAAAGCCGTGTCCGTGTCGTGTCGTGTCCGTGTCCGTGCATCATAGGTTATAGAGAGATTCATGAGCTATGAAGTAAATTCATAAAAAGGTGATATCTGCACAAGTATAAATGCTTTGAGATACTTGTAAATAACAATGATAGCCTTTTTGGTGACAAAAGTATTGAAAAAGATGTATCAAATGACTAAATGAGAGTTTCTTATGAGCATGAAAGGAATGGATAAAATAGAGTTTGCCAAAATTTTTAGGAAGGAAAGGGGAGTCTTCTTAGGACATGAGGTTGAGAGAGGGTAATATTACCAAGAATAGTTGAAAGGTGTCAATAAGTAATCACATAATCAGCACAATATTACCTTAGAATTATTGTGGAACATTTATATGGAACATTCAAGTTCTAGATATATCTTGAAAATGACAATGCTCAAAAGCATTACTATTAGGACTTCTCAGATTGGAAAAAAACACTGACAATGTTTACCAAGTTCACAAGCATTATGTTCAAACTTAGAGAATGAGGGGAAGTATGAATAAACTTTTGAAGACGCTGAGGTGGGAGATGACCTAAATGATAATGCCACAGACATAGAGTGATTGTGGAATAGAAGGCAAATGGAATTGTAAATGTTAGATAGTAGATTCTGCCAACTTTGACTACACTAATCATCATTCTTATAATAAGATTGCCAAACATAAAGTGAAAAGTATTGAAGGTTGTCAAGAACTTTTGAGTATAAGATAGTTGAAAGTCACAAGAAATGATAGAGAAAAAGCCTTCTTCAAATAATAGGATAGGGGGAATCATTAACAATATTGGTAGATGTGATTAAGGGAATTTTATGGGTGGAAAAAAGTGGTGATATTGGTCATATATTATGTCAAACCAAATCAAGGAACCGAGATGTATCATAAGAAGCAACACAGTAGAACACAACATGAGAAGTTGAAATATATTTGTGAGAATGCTGAAAATGACCGCCATAATCTTTTTAAGATATTTCCATTGATCTACCAGAAGTGTTCTTGATGGAAGTTTCAATAGTCATAAGAGTGGAGATAGAGGCTTGAGTTGTTGATGAAAACCAAATTTTGTCTCATCACTATTTTGAGTGATGATTACACGAACTATAGTAAGAATATGAAAAGGGTTACCTCTGTGACCATGGCTACCATTAGTTTTGCTCCCCATGATTATGGTCACCATAGCCACTATGATGCCCTATAGCAATGGGAAATTGGTCAAACACTAGCAAAGGAGTCAACAACTCAACGACCCAAAGAATTGAGAGTATAGTGGCACTATAGGGAATAGTATATCTGTGTTTGAAAATGTAGGAGGTAAGGATAAAGCCAAAAGAGAAAATTGATGACAAAAATTTTCTCATTACATTTTTGTCACATCGTCAGATAAACAAGAAAGAACTTATTTTAAAGAAGTTCATCCCATTTTTCCCTTGAGGTACTATAGTATTCCAGATAAAGTAAAACATTTTGTTGAAGGGATAGGTATTCAAATATATGTTATAGTCACATTAAGTGTTATTTTCTTCAAAATAAGTTGAATGGAGGAGGTCCATATTTGCTTTATAGTATCTTGAAATATGATGGTTGATGCAATGGATGGTTTAAGACTATTGAGTAGCTATTTGTGACAACACATCAGATGCTTGCCATTTAGAAAGTTTGACGTTATTATCTTGAGTTGAAGGACATGCATATAATCTCAGTGCGAATCATATCATAGTGGTAGGTAAGACTGGAAAGGCATATTTGAAGTGAAGGTGTGTTGCAATGATGTTCACATACGCTGTCTTTGTTATGACTACACTTTATGATGCATATTTGAAGGGAAGACTTTGGATGCCGTCATGTTATAACTACACTTTATGATGAATTTAGCGAGAAAGTTTGTCTCTTATTGTCTTGATTAATGCCACTGATTCTGTTTTCATGTTTTATTTTGAAAAGCTTTTTTTTATTAGTATTAAACCGAGCATTTTTTTTTTCTGCAGGCGAAGTTTAATGATTATTTGCTGGAGATGTTCCGGATTGATTATGTTGGGACTTCTCCATACCTCAGCTGCACGCCATCGGTAGCGTACCACCATCTATGTTCCAATGATCGATTCTTGGTTCTGTCCTCTGATGGTCTTTATCAGTATTTTAGTAACGAGGAGGTAGTTTCACATGTTGCATGGTTTATGGAAAACATGCCAGATGGGGATCCTGCACAATACCTCATTGCTGAATTGCTTTTGCGTGCAGCCAAGAAAAACGGTAGGTAACTCACTCATCATATGCAGCTTGTATGGTCTTAGGTTTCGTTTGGGACAACTTTCATACTACTTTTTGAAACGATTTTCTAGTACAAAAATTTTAAATTCAAGAAATTTTTGTATTTGAAAGCTGGTTTAAAAAGCAATAAGAAAGTCATCTCAAATGAAACCTTAATATAACATGCATTAGTCGATAGCACTGTTAAAAAATCCAATCTTGTGCAGATTTATTTTGAGTCATCATGCAATCTCAAGCTAGCTTGAAGTGTTTTGATTCATAGGCAGTTTTTATTTTAAGTTATATATTATGTGTATATTTAGTACAATGAAAATTTTAAGGCATGTGAGGCATTGGATTTGTCTTATATTGACTAGGTGAAAGTATGTTTGGATAGAAATAATATTTATTTATTACTCAGCATAGGCTTAATTTTTTGGTTTGAAAATGGATATAATAATTGAAGCATCTAACCTTAGTCCCTTTTGATCCATGATTTTAGCATAAATATTTATATCTATATCTTTATATAAGTTAGGTGATATTTGAAGAATAAAGTTTCTTCGTAAAATTGATCTATCCAAAAATATTAATCCAAATATATGATAGAATTTCCTCATTATTGTAAAATTTTTAATTGAGATTTGATTGAGGTTTTTACAGTTGGATTATATGAGAGAATTTGTATTTTGTGAGATATTGGACATCTTATTTCTTTAATGTGGGCTAAGAGAATTTATATATTCATATATTCTTTATTTATATGGACCACATGTGAGGCCCTCCCTATTGCATCCCAAGCTAAAGAAGCTATCAACCCATAGAAAGAGGAAAAATATTCAAGGGAGAGGGTGAAGCATTAAAAGGGAGGAAAAAGCTTACAAGGTATGCCACAAAGAAGGACATCAAGAATTGCCTCCAAGGATAAAATCGCGTGTAGAGGGAGGAGAGAAGGAAGTTATTGAATAGCTCTTGGATATTTTAAGATAGAAAGATCAGAGAGAAGCTTGCTTTCTTACTAGCTATAGTAAGTGGTTGAATGCCCTTTTTTCGACCAGGACTTTTTTTTTTCAGACAATAAGGAGATTGATCTTCTTTCTCTCTCTCTTTATCAAAGTATTAAGAATTACTCATCTCCCAATATATGAAGACATCTTTCATGTACTCTCTCATAAGGTTTAGTGAAATATTTTGATCTCTATGCAACAATGGGCATAAGTAGTCTTTTTTGTGTGGTTTATCCTCTTGTGAGTATTCTATGGAAATCTTATTACTTTTAAAATTGTTGTTTCCACAAATAAAGTTAGACCAGAAACAACTGCTAATTTTCACAGGAAAAACCCACCAACAGTTCCAAAATCTGCTATGATACCAATTTGTTAGTAAATAGTTAAATACTTGAAGATCTCAAGTAAAAACTAACAATATTGACAAAAATTAACGAGAAATATCCACAACTCCAATGAAAAAAAATAATATTTTTTATTACAATAATCAAGATAATAGAAGGAAAATATCAAGATATAGTTGATCCTTTATTCGAGAGGAGGATCTATCTCTCCCAATCCCTTGACACCGCTAGAGCCCAAGGCACCAACTCTAAGAAGAAAACAACCACAATAAGTTTGCATGCTCCAACCCTAATGTGAACTCCTAATTAAAGCAAACATAAAAAATAACCAAAAGGACTAAACAACCCCCCTCTCTCTTCCCTAAGTTGTGTACCCCACCCTCAAGGGGGCGGTCAATTGAGCTTACGGGTCAACAAGCTTTCGCCTGCTGTAGGTGTCGAGCTGGCCCAAGGGTTGGGCCGATTGGACTGGTCCCTCTTGAACCGGTCTAGGCATATCATAGTGTTAGTGAACTTTATGTTACTTAGTGCAACATGAGTGATTATATGTTGGATTCAAATGCTTTATGAAGCATCATAATTTAGGAAAGAAAATAATAGTCAACTTCTATGCTATAAGCAAGGTTTTTAAAATTGGATCAGACTGGCTGGTTCAACTAGTTGAACTGTACACCAGTCGGCCATCCGGTTCGATTAATGTTAGGAACCGGTTAGCCCGGCAGGAGAAACGTGAAACTAGCGAACCAATCATCCGTAGAAATGAGATTGAGCGATGTTTGAGGAAAATTTAAGTTAAAACATAATATTCTTATTCATATCCCACTCCTTGCTCTTCGTTTGTGTGAATAGGTGATGTTTCATTCTTGTTCTCGGCTACTCAGCATCGCTCTTGTTTGCGAACTGGACTTGACGAGAGGCTACAACGAAGTCATTATTCCTCTTTGGCATCACAGTTCCTTCTCCTATTTACTTCAAATCATAGGATGTAAGTTCTTTTAATCCTAATTTTTCTAGGTTTTGTTTGGGTATTTTTTTTAGAAGTTTGTTAAGGATTTTTGCCATGGATTTTGTAATTCCTTTATTATCTTAATGCCATGCCCTTAAAATGATTAGGGTGGATGTTTGTTTTGTACTCCCTATGATATATTATGTAGTATTTACTGTTAAAATTTTAAAGAAGATTAGGATTGAAGCTTGTTTCCAACTTTCTGTATTGTGTATTAGTTTTTGTTACTCTTAGAGAAGATTTAAGTTCGTTTTCGAGGGTTTATGACTTCTTAGTTTAACTGAGTGTATTTAGAAGTAATAAGGGAGCACAACCAGATCAAAATCATTAAAGTTACTGAATATGAAGTTTCTTCTTCATTATTTATTATGTTAATTTTATTAATTTTTAATAATATTATGAGAAATTTACATACATACCACTTTATTTCATGCTATTTACATATTTAACACTCAAAATATTAATATTATATGCCTACCACCCATATAAAACTTTAATATCAAGTATATCAATCATATAATTCATTTCTACCATTCATACCATCCTATAAACTTTAATATTTTATTCCATGCACCCAAATTTATTTTACTGATGGTAGACATGTAATATTAATATTTTAGGTGTTAGATATGTAAATAGTATGAAATAAAGTGGTATGTATGTAAACCCCCATAATATTATTATTTATTATGTCATCCGATTTGACCCCAATTCGACTGGTCGAACCGTAAACCTCTCATTCTTCCGGTTCGTTGTTCGGTCCGGTTTTCACAACCTTGGCTATGAGAATGATTTTGGAATAAAATAAAGCACATGTTGAAAGGAAGACTTTTGGAGATGATCAAACAAATCATGTTTGCAGGTTAAAACAACGGTCTTTCGATGACCCAGTTAGGAAAGTAGATGAATGAGATTTGACTTATGTTATGAAAGGTAGAGGTGGACCTAAAAAACTTGGTTAAAAATATTAAAAGTGACTTTTCTTTATTAGATTTAAATGAGAATTTAAGTTTTAATAGGAAACAATGAAGTAAAATGATTCATGTAGCCGACTTCACATATTGGGATAAAGGCTTGATGTTGTTGTTGTTGTTGTTGTTGAAGGAAGACTATTGAAGATGATAAAAAAAATCATATTTGTGTTTCATAATATATCTATGTCCCAAGTCTGCTATCGATTTAGTTCAACATCTAAAGTGAGCAAACAACCACTTTAGAGGTACAAGAATTAAGTGGCAGGTGAAACATTTGATATTGATGGATTCATCTTACTGTGCAACATGTGTGCTAACGTGGTCTCTATCGGATTTTTAAATGAGATGCAAAATAGATTCGGTAAAATCCTGAAGTGCTCAGCCTTATTTGGCTTTCAATTGATGATGCTATTTAGAGTGCTGCACAGATAGCTATTTGATGACTCACCACTAAGCAGATGCGTTAAATAGTAATCTCCAAGTGAGGAGATTGTTAGGTGATGTGTAGAAAATAATTTTCCCTAAAATATATCTCCAAATAGATAATGTAATTTTCTCATCATTATAAAATATTTGATTGAACTTTGATTAAGTTTTTTTTTTTTTACTTTTTTTGTGGTAATAATTTAAGAGACTAATATTTATTTTGTGAGATATATGAGATCTTATTTGTTCTTCTATATGGGTTTAGAAGAGTTTCCATATTTATGTATTCTCTTCTGTATAAATATCACCCTATAATGACCTCCCATGTGCATCCTACGACAAAGCAATCATTCATAATAGATGGGAAAAAAAATATTTTAAAGGAGAGTTAGTAGTTTGGATGAAGTAGTAGAAGTGAGGAGGATCAAACCAATGTTGCTACAAAGAATATTAGGAGTTATTTCTTTGGAGAAGTTCGAGCTCAAATTAAGAAAGGGAAAAGTTCTCAAGCAGCTTTTGGATACCTCAAGATGGAAAGGCCAGAGGGAAGCTCATCTTCTTACCAATTATGGATAGAAAAATATTTATTAAACTCAGGTTTTATTTGGATCAGCTTTTTTATTATTTTCTAATACAACTAAAGAGCTGCTTTAGAAAAAGTAAGAAAACTACCTCAAATGAGGTCTTAATGAAATATTTTGTAATTTATGCATCAAAGTTGATCTCTCAAATCACATAAATCTTTGTCCTTTTTGTATCTACTAAATTTCTTTGGTAATTATTGCATGATCCATCATTTTTATTCTTTAGGGTCTCTTCTTCAAAATTAAAATCAAAATGACAAGAGTGATTATGTGCATATTTAAGCTATTTTTGTAAAGACAAGAGTGATTATGCTGAGCTAAATTGTATTGATTAACAGTAAGAATTACACTTTGTTAATGCAGGAATGGATTTCCATGAGTTGCTAGATATTCCTCACGGGGATCGCAGGAAATACCATGATGATGTTTCTGTAATGGTAGTTTCTTTGGAAGGAAGGATTTGGAGATCATCAGGATGATTTTGTTAAATGACATGAGTCTCTTTTCTGTGCATTTCTTGATTGAACAATATGTTCCAACAAGAGGGATCGATCAACCTCTTTTCTTGTTTCTTCCTTCTCCCTGTTGAGCTCACTTCTTTTTCCATGCCTCTCTTTTTTCTTTGAGATTTTGTATAAAATTCTTTATAGTTGATTATTTGTGTGTGCACAACAAAAAAAAAAGAGTTTTTTTTTTTAAATTTGATAAAAAACGACGACATTTTATTCTATTTTATATACAAAGGTAACTTGCCTTGGCATGAATATGAAGATTTTTCAAAATCTTCATATTACTATTATATTTTATTATGAAACTTTGATATTATTAGAGTTTGTCATACAAATTCTAACACCAATATTAGAATTTCATAATAAATTATCATAATATTATCAAAATTAAAAAAAAAAAAAAATCTCATGCCAGGGTTTGTTGTTATTGTATGTAAAATATGGTAAATTTCTTTGTTTGTTTATAAAATTTTAAATCCATTGCCTGTTTTCATAAAATGATCAAACTATATTGAATTTTATAGAAATTTCCTATTTTTTCTCTCTTATGTTCTTTGCATCTCCTAGATTTGAATGACAACCACCTTCATGTTTTCTTTAAGAAAGAAGACAGACTGGATGGCTCCAAATGCTGCTCAGTAACATTGATGCTTTGTTTTGGATGATTTTTTTTATTATTTTCTAAAGTAATTTTTTATTATAGTTTTTTTTAAATTAAAAATTTTTATAACAATTGTTTTTATTATAAATGTGTTTGTTCATAGATATGTTCATGAACATGTTTGTTTGATAGTTAAAAAAATTTGTTAAATATGTTCACGAACAAGCTTGATAAACACTAAACAAGCGAACATGAACCGAACATGAACACTCTTTAATTTAAATGAATCAAACATGAACACAAATGCTAAAGCTCGAACAAATATGAACCAAACTTGAACAAGCTAATATTAAATGAACACAAACATGAACACTCACATACTCGGCTCGGCTCGGTTCGTTTGCAGCCCTAGTAAGCCACATGTGTCCAAATACATTAAGAAAGAGTTATTAGATTATAAATTGTTTTTTATAACATTCAGGTTATTAGATAAGGAGATTTTTTTATATCATTCATGTGTAAGAGCTTCATAAAATAAAATATGGAAGGCTAGGTGAGGGTATATAAAATAGTTAAATTAGATATCCCACTCTATAGAAATTACTAAAGCATCAATTTTCAGAGCTAAAATATTTTTGTTTAAGGTCTTATTAATAACAAGGTAAGTTGAATTTTTGAAAATTAGATCGTAATATTCATAATAAGACACTAGTTGTTGGGTATTTCTTGACGTTAATAAAGAACTTCATAAATTTTGCTCGAGGGTTAATTTGATGAAGTTCTGTTCTTATAAGATTAGTGGGCATGTTGATGTAACAAAAGATCATACGCCTTTGTCTGAGTTTTCTGAGTGTAAGGTGATTAACTTGCGAATATATTTTAAACATATGCTTTTCTTTTTCTTTTCTTTTTAAGTTGGGACAAGCTCGTTTAGAGTTTTCTTTTTTAGGATTTGAAACATAGCCCACCCCTTGTCGCTTGATAGAGAATAAAGAGTGGATCATGCTAGAAAGATGACTTTTTTTTCATGCTAGAGGATTTAGCATGCACGTAGATCTTGAGTGTCTTGGAGCCTCAACTTTCAATGAGTAAGCTAATCATATCCCTCGTAGGAAATTCTTCTTGAACTAGATGTAGTAACTTTTCTCATATAACATTAAAAGGAGTAACCTTTGCAGGAATCTTAAAATTATATAGATTTATTATGTTGATTTTATTGTTGGTGATTTCCCTCATTATATGATGAACATCATTGGCTATCCTTCTCCTTTAGTTGTAGGATTTGAGCTCATTTCTCCTCCATCTTATGTATTCGACCCTCTTGGTATGAGTCATTTGGGCACACTCTTGCCTAATTACAATGTCTAAGGATTCTAGATATATTTCTAATTTGATGAGTGTTGAAACAAGAAATTTTACTACAACTATTACTCCTATAAACCATTAAAATAGTGTTTTTAGGACATTTCCCACAAATAATGCTAAGCTATTTTGTGTTACAGATTCATGTTGATACACGCGTGCACACACACACAGAGAAAGAGAGAGAGAGAGAGTGATAGAGAGAGAATTGTACATCCTAGATTTTCATAAAGATCAATCCCCTATAAATATAAATAAAAATATATAGGAGACCATTTAAGTAAAAAAACCCAGAAGGATAAAGCCAAGTGCCCTAGCCTCGTTGAAATAATTTACTATACACTTAAAGTTATAGAAATTCATTGTTTTTGATAATTAGAGAAGACAAGATCATAAACGTGCAAGCACTTGGTTAGTCTCCTTTAGTTTAGTAGAAATTGTGGGAGAATTAGTGTAGAGATGATGTCACTAATGGAATGATATTATTAGTAATGGTGGTTGGTTAATAGAAATCAGGTTATGGTGATTGGTTGATGGCAATCAAGAAATGGTGGTTGGGCGACTATTGTTGAATGACAATAGTTGGGAAATCATAGGTAGATGATGGCAATATGATGATGCCAATTGGACTGCAAGATCTTGGGGATCATTGTCATATGGAGATGGTTTGACGATAGTGATATGATAAATGATTATGTTAGTGGTTGGTGGTGATCATCAATGTTGATTGTCAAATAGAGCTCTATGGTTCTGTAAACTTTCAAGTTTTTTCCTATCGTAAGTCTATGCCCCACTCTTCTAGAGAACTTCGCTCCAATTATAGTTTTATAATAGTGAAGATTTGATAAATTTAGCTAAAATTCTACAATAGTTCATTTGATTACTAACAGTTTTTTTTTTTTTTTTTTTTTGAAGTTGAAAGCAAATACAGTTTTCGTTCTTCTAGATGCTTTGTTCCACCAATGCCTATCTCGACGAAATTGAACACGTTATCACTAATAAGATCCAGTCAAAGCAAAAGAAAAAAAAAACGTGATTAAGGCTTCTTTGGGACGATTTTTAGACTGATTCTTAAAATAAATTTTTAGTACAATAATTAAAATTTTTAAACTAGAAAGCTGCTTTAAGAAATAGTAAAATTTTGGGATAGTTTGCTTAATTCTTTCTAAATTAAATTTTTAGTATTAAAAAAAATTGTACTAAAATGCCTCTTTAGAAAGTAGTAAGAAAGCTATCTCAAAGGAAGCCTAAGGCTTTGTTTGGGATGAATTTCTTACTGTTTCTTAAATCAGCTTTCTAATATAAACATTAAAAAAATTGTACTATAAAGCTGGTTAAAGAAGCAGTAAGAAAGCCATCCCAAACAAAATCTAAGACATCATTTAAAATTTTTTTTTTATTAATTCATAAAACAGACACAAAAATTTTAATTTTTATACTAAAAAAATCATTTCTTATAAGCAAGAAAGCTGTCCCAAACGTAATAGTATGCAGTCACCACCGCTTGTGTTCGCACATTAAATAAAACTAATTTTAATTGAAATTATACTTAATGCTCACCATTCTTGAAATAATAAAAGTTAAAAATCAACCGAAATCTGGAAGGCAACAGGAGCAGAGGAAATAGATCTTCTGTTCATGGATTAAAAAAACAATAGGTGTAGGGAGGCCGTCAAACGGCCGGTGGCGACGTGATAGTTTCACGGTGGTTCTGACGGATGGGAAGACGCTTTCAGCTCTTTACTTGGCAGAAATTACAAGCTATGGATCCTTAATGAAAATGTTGAATTCCAACGCATACCCAACGAAATTATTAGTAAAAAAGAAGGTTGAGGCCCCCAACGCCAGATTGGATAACTTTTATAATTGAAAACAGGGAAGTTAGGTGTGTATATAACAATAAAGTTTCCATTTAGTTTTTGCATTGACAATGTCAAAGCTTTGTAAGCTGGCATTCAAATCCGGGGAAATTATTGGGTTTAGACACCGGACAACGTCTAGAGCCCAATGAAAATGCGCCACATCATCTCCTACTCGATAGTGAGCTCGGTATCAAACTCGATACTGCTCGGTATTGTGAAGTACCGAACGTAAGCTGTGTCCGATATCCGAACCCAATAATCTCTCTCAAATCTGACCCTATTTTGCTAAGCTAGCTAAGGTCGACTGCAGCTTGATCAGCATCATGTAGTCGATAATATACATGACAATTTTTAGTTTGATAGGTTTGTCTTTAAAACTTTATTTTATAACAAAAGAGTTTGAGAATTTTTATTAGTTTTGTATTTTGCGTCACGGAGGTTATAACTAACGTTTTATTTGAGATATTTTTTTGTCACTATTTTTTCAGTGCTTTCAAAAAAATTATATTAAAAAGCTGTTTTAGAAAATGATAAAAAAAACTATCTCAAACGAAACTTAAGTGTGAAGATGAGCAATAATCACTTTGTTAGATCAATAGGGCAAAATTTCGATGAACAATTGCTTGGTTTTAAAGATTTTTCACCTGAATGTTTATCTTTTGGTCAAAACCTCATAGGATTATTGGATGGTCTCAAAACTGAGATTGAGCTTTAAACTCTCCACCAATTCAATACAACTCAAGATAATAATAGTTAGGTTTTGTTCTCCAACTAAACTTGTGTAGGTGAGGGATTGAATTTCTTTAGCCTCATGAGCTATAAAGGTGAGAAACTTAAACCTTGGAGTAATAGTTAGGACTCTAGTGTGTAGGGAGATCAAGTTCACAAAAAGTAGAGGGCTTTCCTTCCTTAAGTAGCTCTTATGCTCTAGAGCATTTTGAAAATGAGATTAATTGGTCCACTAAAGAAGGACAATTAGCCCTTTTAATCTAATGGGAGGACACTAATATGCTCAAAAAAAAAAAAAAAAAAAAACTAAAAAAAAAAAAAAAAAAAACTCAAAGTAGGGAGTGAGCATGAAATTGGAGATGAAATCATTATCATTATTTTGATTTTAAGAAGATCCAATAGTTATAATTAAACCCAAACCAAGTTTTATGGAATTTGTTGGAAATTTTATATAAAGCTCATTTGTGAGACAAATCCTTTAAAATTTTAACCATAAACGCATTTTTATATAGGGGAATGATTTCAATTAGTTATCATGCCATTTTTAATTTAAAATATTTGATAGCACATTATTTTATTCTCTAAATATCAAAGGTTCTTCTAAAATTGTGGAACTTCTTCATTATGTTAAGAGGGCTAATTTGAGCTTTCTATTATTTTGGATGGGTCAAGTTTTATTGGATTTCATGTTTGGAATTTTTATATACGAAAATTGCTTTAAAATTTTTACTATTGATGAATCTTGAAGGGATAGGAGAGATGGAAGAACTCAGCCATATGTATTCACTGTTAATGAAGGTGAGAAAGAGAGTGAGTTTGTCCTCAGGATATGAGGGGAAGAAGATCAAATCTGTCATGGGATTTGCCACCTCCCAAAGCCATTTGAGGATAACTCTGCAGCCAATGCTACTATGAATTGTAAGACCACTAGCTTTAATGATGGAGGAGTCAACTTGCATCACTCAACTATACCACATCGTTAGCCAACCTATCCCACTTGGACTTCACAGAGAGTTTCCATGATCGGGTTAGTTGAGGTAATCTAAAATATACAGTTCTTGAAGTTCCTAACACCTATGAAGGTGAATGCACATAACTATGAAACTTTGAGGTATTGTGCTTTTATAGCAATTATGGATATGATATGGATAAGTGGCACAACCTCTGAAAGAGCTTATCAATGTCAAAAAAAATTAAAGGAACTCGTGCTCATTTATTGTGGTTAGTGCCCATGAAAACCTCCTATGGACGGGGGTAGCAGTAAGCTTATCCTAGCTAATTTAGTGCACATCATAGTAGTAGTGCTTACCATCAGGGGAGGAGAGCGAATGAATTCACTAATGAGTGCTAAGAAGACGAATGTCAAATAAGTTAACTCAGCATCTACCCCATGAGCTATAGCATTAGATGTCACCCCTATCACTTTCATGGAAGCTGATAAGCTCGTAGGAGCTAACCCCCACAATGATGTCATCATTATCACTATCCCAATCTCCAACAATCATATTAGTTGTATTATGATAGAAGTAGAGAATTATGTGCATATTATTTTTAAATCTATATTTGAAATTTTTAACCTACTTACTTTTTCAACTCACCCTTATTGTAGGTTCTCTTTATGGCATATAAGAGTGTGTAGGAACACTGAAGGAGTACTCACCCTACTTGTCACTTAGGGCAAGAAAGACCACAACTATAATGCCATGGAAGACATCATCATCATGGATACCCCTATGACTTATAATGCCATCTTCGGTAGGTCATTGCTAAATAGTTTCAAGGTTGTGGTGTCAACCTGCAACGTCATTATTAAATTCTAAGATGAATGGAGAGGGATCACAGTGAAAGGGCAATCTCATTATGTCAAGTGCCTACAACTTGCGAGTTGTAGGAAATTTAGGAACCTCCTCGAAAGAAGTATACATTTGGACGTGCACCAGTTTGAGCTTGGAGACCATGGAAGTTGTAGATGAAGTACTAGCAATAGAGGGCATGTTTAGTGCTTCCTTTAATGTTGAGCACATAGTCGAGTTAATACAGACCCTCGTAGGTGACTTGGATGCCTTTGCATGGACAACAAAAAAGATGCCATGGATTAATGAGGAATTCATCTTCTATAAGCTCAATGTGAGGAAGGATGCTCAACCCGTAAAATAAAAAAATAAGGAAGAAGTGCAAAAGCTAGTAAAAGTTGACTTCATTATGGGAGTCCAGTACACAAATTAGATCTCTAATGTGGTAATGGGGTGGGGCAAAAGGCAAGGAATGTGGAGGATGTGGGTGGACTACACCAACTTAAATTTAACTTGCCCAAAAGACGGGTATCAACTATCAAAGATAGATGCCCCATGGTTAACTTAGTAGATGGGGCAATCAGTTATGGGTTTCTTAAGTTTTTTCGTAAGCTATCTCCAAATCCAGATGTATCCTAGAAAATGTGCCAATACTTATTTAGATGATAAAGTTCATAAATAATGGTGGTTGATTCAACCTATATTGCTCCCCAATATTATAATTTCTTAATTTTAGATCTCCACCCTTAGAGAAAAAATTATGATTATGAACTTGCTACTACTAATGTTGTTGACATCAATGATGTGGCTCCTGACAATGTGTCCCAATTATTTCATGGCGAACTTCATTGGTCTTGGGGATTTCACTCGCAAGTTGCAAATGAAATTAGAGTCATGCAACCGAAAAGATGACATTGTAAATACATGCTTATTTTCCTCAACAAGGATGTAATTGTTAGCAAGTTTAAGTAATAACTAATATTTTCAACTGCTACACACATAATACATATCTAAAATAACCTTCTCAAAGTCCTTGTGTCAATACAATATGGCAATTATTGATTCCAATTATTTAACTTCTAGCATTTTACATTTGAAATAAATTTTTAAATTCTAGAGTTGCGCCCTTGTTCTTATTTTATATTTGAAAGAGATTATGAAATCCTTAATAGTTTATGGCCAAAAGCAAATTGAGTCATAAATTGTAGTTTTAAAATAGAGTATGAAGCTATAATCCCTAATGTGGAAATAAGGTTACTGAGGTTTGAGGTTGGACATGAAGAGTAGTTAGTATAAATCACTAATGAATTTCTTGAATCATCCTCATCGAATGATCTTTCATTTTATTGAGTTATCCAATAATTACAATATCTTTTTGTTCAAGTTATGAAGACCCCTCACTTCCTTTCATTTAGGGCATCTCCAACGGAGAACTCCATTTTTCACGCCAAAATACCGCAAAACGCAAAAATGACGTGGTGCTGCTCCAATCGAACGCCATTTTTTTGCTTCGGCGCGAAGGTAACGATCCTTCTCCTTTGGCGTGTTTTTCCGGTTGAGAGAGGAAAATAGCGTAGGTGAACAGTGCAACACCAATATTGGTGTTGCACTGTTCATCCGCAAGCAAATGGCGGACGTTTTGGCGTTCGGCTGGAGCGACCGAACGACATCAAACACTCGTTTGGCGTTCGGTTGGAGATGGTCTTAGACATTCTATGGCTAGTTTATTCTCTTCTGCATCCTCTACGCTTATTGCACTATTTAGGATGTTGGATCTGATTCTACAAATAGGTGAAACCACAACCTTACTAACAAGCACAAGTAGAGCCAAACAAAATGCTTGAGAAAAGCTTTATGAATGAATCCCACTTAGTTCATGTGTCAAACATTACAAGACTAGTTTGACACAAACTTGTTAGTTGAGGTTCAATGCTATAGGAATGGCCACAGCATTCAGTAGAAAATGTAAGAACGGTTAGACGATTCTACAACTAAATAAATCTGAAGCTTAATAAAATCATATCCAAAGTACTGTAAAGATTAGTTGTTGAAGAAGCAACGTGATCTGTACAACCTCTTCCTCGTCAAAGAATCAATCTAAATAATTGTAAGAAGAAGCAATAATGCATTATTACATAGAATAATGAACAGAAGTCAATCTTTATCTTATTATCTTTCTTATCACCATTAATGATCACCAACTGCTCCCGGCCACCGTTACTTAACCTGTAAAATTTCTTGCTTGATCTTTTTTTTGAAAAATAAATACTAAAATATTAGAGAAATAGTATTCAAAATTCACTCATTTAAATATTTGACAGCTAAATTTTACTATTTAGTCACAGAAAACCGAGAACTTCAAATCTTCTCTGTTAAAAATCCTGACTTGAAACTACAAATAATATAAAAAGAACACCTTATTCTGTGTTAAAATCCCATCGACCTTCTCTTGAATTTCAAATGGCGCTAGTACAGTTGTTGAAAGGAAAATTTTTTAAAAGGAACCGATTTGCTGTCTAATTTAGCAATAGGAACATGGTTAACGTAAAATTTAAAAAGGAAGAAAAAAGTAAAACTTCACAGGGTTTTCTTAGAAAACCCGAAATCATCTTAGGTTTTCTATTCAAATACCAATTAAATTTCAGGTTTTCAAAGAAAACCAAAATTTTGTTTGTGTTTTCTTTATGCTCAGTTACTCTTGCATTCACATTCGCCTTTTGCTCCAACGGATTGTTACCAGTCCGTGTTATACAAGCATGCATTCTTCTCTTTGTATCATCGAATCTGCCTTTATTGGAGATGCCTGGAATCCTTTCCATACATGGCTAATACACTTTGAAGGTCAAAACACAAATCTTCACAACTATACTTGATATGTGCATGCACCCTTTAGATAATAGAGGTTAAGCATACAACTTGAAATTACAAAATTGTTTGGTTGGACCTTACATATTTACATGTCATATGATATTTGCAAGAAGCATCATATTAATGAATAATGAGACAAATTTAAAAGGATTCAATGCTCTGAATAAAATTTTGAAATAGGAATCCAAAGTTCACAGTTTTGCCCTTTCGAGGTCAAGAGTATCTTTATACTAGCATTGCCCTTTCGAGGTCATAACTTCCCAAGGAGTAAAAGTTCATTTGGAAACTGTGTGTACAACAAAAAAAAAAATCACTTGAATTTTTCTTTGAAAATTTTCTCATATATGTAGGATGTTTTAGAAAAAAAAGTTATATGCAAGTTTGTCTTGGATGTATATAAAAATATTGAAACAAAGGAGACTTGCCAAGCCATAACCACTCCTCAAATGTTAACATGAATATCTCTTCAAGGTTGCAATAAAGATTTCCCTCCCCTCTCCCAACCCCAGTCCTAAATTGTTTATTTTATCATTGATGATATGGTGGATGATAAAATGTATTTCTTTACTATGGAGCAGAACCTGACAAACATTAACATAAATGATCTTTCTTAGTTATATGAAAGAATACTTCAAAGCTAAAAGCATTACTTACAGATGAAACGAGCTATTACATGCTAGAAAATTTGTGTGTGTGTGTCAGAGAGAGAGAGAGAGAGAGTAAGTTTTACATATTGTAATTATATGAAGATCTAGCATACACACATAAATAAAAGATGGTTATGAAAGAGACTAATTTTGGCATAAAAAATCTAGGAAAGAAATAAACCAGGGGGCTTTGATCAATTGAAATAATTTCATTAATATTTATTTTTAGTAATAAATGATGCATTTTTTCTAGATTGGGGAACGTGTTGATACAAATTATAGACATAAACTATATAAGATAGATTTTATGGTGAAATTTGAAAGAGTCCTGTTGCATGGGAGCTATCTTTAAGGATTCGTTTGACGTCTTCTTTATTATTCTCTTCGAGGTGGATAGGATATAGAAAAAGAAGTTTAACATAAATCATGGAACAAACATCAGAAGTTAGGGTTGATGTCAACAATATGCATTAGCCTTATAAGTGATGGCATGCATTAGTTACATTAACAATAATGAGTGACAAAATTAACATGTGTTAGTGCAATCAAACAAGAATATTTAGAAAATTATAGTGTGGTGATAGTCCTTAAGAGATCATAGCCAAATAATGATTATTTGAAAATCATAGTCAATCAATATTTGTGCGAGGACCATAGTTAGAAATTTTTAAATTTGCTTCAATTGCCTGTTTTTGGCTCACATCGGTTCAATTTGAAATTTTTAATTATGATTCAAATGTTTGATTTAGGCTCATTTGATCCCACATCGGTTTAATTTTAATGTTAATGGATTTGTCTCATCGAGACATTCAATTAGAGTGTAAATATGATAAAAGAAAAGTTCAGATGATACTAAATTTAATTTCGGTGTTTTTTAATTTGAATATTACATCTAGTTCCATGATGAATCGGGTGATGAAGTATCAAATATATTGTATTCTTATATCCTTTATTTTGATATAGAATAATTTCACGTTTTTGGTTGAATTTGTTTAAAAAAATATTTTTGATGTGGGTTAGTTAATTAATGAATCTTCTCAACTCATCCTCTTCCCATATATCTTCATTTCAAAGGACTAATTCGCTCGCTTCGGCTCTCACATCGCATTCAACCTCTCTCACCAACTCCCACGCCAATCTTATAAATTTCCTTCTCTCTTTCCCTTCCCAATCCACGAGCTCAATCCTCTCCTCTTTCCCCAACCACCACACTCACAAGCCACTTAACCGACATGCTCAGATCCATGGCAACCACCGGAGCTCCACTTCTCTTCATTCTCCTCCTCGCCGCTTCCACCGCTACACTTGCCGCCGACCCCGACGCGCTCCAAGATATCTGTGTCGCCGACCTCAACAACAGTAAGCAGAGCGACTAATTATTCGCCTTACAGACCTAATAGAATACTAAACATGTCTATCTACTTACTCCATCTTAATTTTTGATCAGCAATTAAAGTGAATGGATTCGTCTGCAAGCCGGCAGCGGCGGTTACGGCGGAGGACTTCGCCTTCAAAGGCCTGGCGAAGCCGGCGGTGATCAACAACACCTTGGGAGCGGTTGTGACTGTCGCGAACGTTGAGAAGATTCCTGGGCTGAACACTCTGGGAGTTTCGTTGGCCCGCATAGACTTCGCACCCGGCGGTCTCAACCCGCCCCACACGCACCCGCGCGCCACCGAGACCGTGTTCGTCCTCTACGGCGCCCTCGACGTGGGCTTCATCACCACCGCAAACAAACTCATAAACAAAACCATCGTTGTCGGAGAAACCTTCGTCTTCCCCCGCGGCCTCGTCCATTTCCAGAAGAACAACGGGGATAAAGCCGCCGCCGTTATTTCAGGCTTTAACAGCCAGCTTCCAGGCACGCAGCCCATAGCCGCCGCCCTTTTCTCCGCTTCGCCGCCAGTTCCGGATAATGTTCTCTCCAAAGCCTTTCAGATTAGCACCAAGGAAGTGGAGAAGATTAAGAGCCGTTTCGCTCCGAAGAGCTAAGGAATACATAACATGCTTTGCAAGTTCCAAAATCGATTTTTTTTTTCTTTTTCTTCCAAAATTCACCACCTCTGTTTCTTGGCATTGGCTGACTGAATTTGTGCCTCCCCTGTCGCCTGTATTGAATTCTTATCTCTTTGATTACTGTGTTTTTTAAGTGTTTGATTCATCCGGCTTTAATCAATAATGAATCATGACTGCAACTCTATTCAATTGAGTAACTCCGCATTGCAAGAAAGATGTTTTATAGACTACTTTATTTGTTAATCGTACGTAATTAATCGGTTGGTGGCGTGATAATGACTGCTAACGTGATGTAGAACTGGCTGAATAATTTAATTAATTTGCAGACGAAAATAATTAGGAAGATGCTTAAGTTTCAAAATTCTAGCGCGGACAATGGGTCCCTCTAGAGGTCATCTCTTTAGAGCCATTTTTCTATGGAAAAAAAATAAAATAACAGAAGAATGTATGAGGCTCTGCTAAGATCATCTCCAACGGAAATCGCATTTTTCACTCCAAATGTCATGAAACTTAAAAATGCCACGATTCATCTCCAATGGAACTCCATTTTGAGAAGGCAACGATCTTTTTTTTCTTTCGCGCGCTTCTTGTCAAGTTCGGTAGACCGAGAAAAATGGCGATGATGAACAGTTCAACGCAAATATTGGCGTCCTATTGTTCACCCGCATGGAAATAGCGGAAGTTTCAGGCATTCAAACATTTGTAATTCCGTTGGAGATGCCCTAACGCATACCAGGATTTGAGGAAATTCACGATCCATCTAAAGACTTCGAAATAGCACCTAATAGTTAGAAAGAAAAAATTGCGAGCATGTTAAAAGTTTCTCTTCAGTAGATGGTCACAAGGAGAATCAAAGTTCAAAGGTTGCTTTGGTGTTCCACTTTATTGTTTATAGGTAGGTTTGGAGAGTAAAGGAGGGTAATTACGTTCCAAGCACTCATAGCAAGATTTCGTTGAGTGGAGCTGAAGCGAAGAAAGAAAAGTTTTTGTTGCTGTAGGTATTCTTGTAATGCGAATCACGAGATAATATGTACTTTTTGTTAGGATTTTAATTGTTGTTTTAGTGAAAAGTGTTTAGAAGTGTAAAATCTATCAATGAGAGTACCCCTTTTTTCGTATGAATTTTTGCTTCAGGTTGGGCCAGGAACGACCAAAAAAAAAAAAAGAAAGTGAAGTTTCACCTTTTCCCACAATGATTTTGGCTGATTTTTATTCTCTCTTGTATTATGTGAACTTTAAATAGTATTATCTAAGCAATAATTTTTTTTTAGGAATTGTCAAATCTCAAAATGGAAGTTTTATTTGGTGCGGATTACGGACATAGCTCTATATCTGGACTCCAATAAATGCCACCACATGGCGCCCCGATGACCCGACTCGATGAAATCTTAATATTTTGCATGTGTTTTCCAACTTACCGTGCGACCCGACTACCTGACCCAGACTAGATGCAAAAAGTTACATTTTACTTAAAAGTGCACCGAGCATTCAGTCGAAAATTCAAAATCGAAGTTTTTCAGTTTCTCTTGTCTTAGGTGCCATTCATCTTCGTCCGGAGCTCCTTTTATTTGCTCATCACTATCGTTGTAGAGGCCATAGCTAAGGTCAGTATTTTGTCACCAGGAAAGAAGTGCATTTTCACCAGATCTATTTGTTTTATTTTCTATAAAATTTTTCTATAAAAGTCATGTTAGGGTTTAGGTTTAGAGTTTTGAACATTTGCATGTTGCTGTAAAAAGTTTTCTTACATATGACAAAATGTATGTGAGAACTAGGATTTATATGCTCGTTACCGCTGTGTACCGAGCAGCGATACACAAATGTTCATAGAGGTTTCAAACAGTTGCATGTTGCTTTAAAACATTCTCACAAATGTGTATTATAGATTGTATGTTGGTTTCAAACATTTACATGTTCGAGACCTCTGTGTACCAACCAGTGGTACACAGAGGTTCCAAACATTTTCATGTTGCTATAAAACGATTTCTCATAAATGCGTCTTACAAAATGTATGTGAGAAATAGGTTTTGTCTACTGCTTCTGTGTACCAATGTGTACCTCTTATATGTATATTTGTGTACCGCTTCTATGTACCTTCGTGTATCGCTGCTCCTTATCGATGTGTATCGACCATGTATACCTCTTTGTATCGTTGTTGTGTACCTCTATGTACTTATTTGTTACCCATTTGCATGTTTGTTCATAGAATGTTTATGGTGAATTCGATACGTATTGATCCTAACCACCATACCTAATTTTGCAGGGATATGTTCTAAAGATTAATTTTTGTTGCAGAACTTCAACTTTTAGAGAAATTTGTGATCATTTGGTTGATACATTCGACCAAGGATTCATTGATTGATTGAGGCAACTGCATATTGATCTGTTCCCGGTGATGCCTCTCTTCTATTATAATGTCCCCCTGGTGCACATTTTATTGTTAAAGTGGGATATCCGAAAGTAGTGTTTCGTCATCAAGAAATGGAAGTTACAATTCACTGCATATGAAGTTGCTCTGATCCTTGGACTACCCAACAGAGGAAATAAATTTGAGTTGGGAAGTGCCCGAATAACTGGGACATCTTCCAATGAGATTAAACATGAGATTCTCAGTCTGGATGAATATACTCCACTTCACGATCTTGTGAAAAAAATTATCATTTTCTTATTGTCCAACCTATTCTTTCCCCTAGGTAACTACCAAACCTCTGCTAGGATCCTAAGTGTTGCTCGTCATGTAGATCAATTTTTAACTTACAACTTGCCAGCATTTATTAGAGATTTCCTAGTGGTCGAGTTTAATGCCATTACCAGGAAGTTTGCCAAAGGCAGACCCCTTGGATATATGAATGGCTTTATACACATTGTAATTATGAGTGCATCCAACATTTTAGAACCTATATGCATTGTAGTAATTAATTTATTTGGCTAACAACTTCTACGGATTAATTGTAGATTTAGTTTCTAGAGCATACTCAATCGACGCACCAGTGGATGATGAGTCCTAACCTCATTTTGTTCATTGGGATAGTGAGATCTTGTACAACGACATAGAGGTCACTGAATTATTTGTTGACATTGACAATATACATGTACTCATTATTCTTTCTGCTTCACATTAATCATTATACAGTGGTACACAACAGTACATAGCGGTATACAACGGTACACAGAATCGATACATATCGATGATATATAACTCCAGAAACATGTGCTTTAGCTACTTAAGGAGTATTTTTAGTTGCATAAGTTGATCTTGAGTATCCCTTCCTCATTTGCAGAACTTGAGCTTGAGCATCCCTTTAGGCTTGCATTTCATGTTGCTTAAAAACGATTTCTCATAGATGTGTCTTACAAAATGTATGTGAGAAATAGGTTTTGTATACTCTATGTACCGATGTATGTTGCTTCTGTGTACCAATGTGTACCTCTTATATGTATCTTTGTGTACCGCTTCTATGTACCTTTGTGTATCTTTGCTCGTTATCACTGTGTATCAACCATGTATACCTCTTTGTACAGTTGTTGTGTACCTCTATGTACTTATTTGTTACCCATTTGCATGTTTGTTCATGGAATGTTTATGGTGAATTCGATAACGTATTGATCCTAACCACCATACCTAATTTTGCAGGGATATGTTCTAAAGATTAATTTATGTTGCATAATTTCAACTTTTAGAGAAATTTGTGATCATTTGGTTGATACATTCGACCAAGGATTCATTGATTGATTGAGGCAACTGCATATTGATCAGCTCCTGGTGATGCCTCTCTTCCGTTATAATGTCCGCCTGGTACACATGTTATTGTTAAAGTGTGATATCCAAAAGTAGTGTTCTGTCGTCAAGAAATGGAAGTTACAATTCACTGCATATGAAGTTGCTCTGATCCGTGGACTACCCAACATAGGAAATGAATTTGAGTTGGGAAGTGCCCGAATAACTGGGAAATCTTCCAATGATATTAAACATAAAATTCTCAGTCTGGATGAATCTTGTGAAAAAAATTTTCATTTTCTTATTGTCCAACCTATTCTTTCCCCTAGGTAACTACCGAACCTCTGCTAGGATCCTAAGTGTTGCTCGTCATGTAGATCAATTTTTAACTTACAACTAGCCAGCATCTATTAGAGATTTCCTAGTGGATGAGTTCGATGCCATTACCAGGAAGTTTGCCAAAGGCAGACCCCTTGGATATATGAATGGCTTTATACACATTGTAATTATGAGTGCATCCAACAGTTTAGAACCTATATGCATTGTAGTAATTAATTTATTTGGCTAACAACTTCTACGGATTAATTGCAGATTTGATTTCTAGAGCATACCTCAATCAACGCACCAGTGGATGATGAGTCCTGACCTCATTTTATTCGTTGGGATAGTGAGATCTTGTACAATGACATAGAGATCACTGAATTATTTGCTGACATTGACAATATACATGTACTAAGTATTCTCTATGCTTCACATTAATCATTACATAGTGGTACACAACAGTACATAGCGGTATATAACGGTACACAGAATCGATACATAACGATGATATATAACTCCAGAAACACGTGCTTTAGCTACTTAAGGAGTATTTTTAGTTGCATAAGTTGATCTTGAGTATCCCTTCCTCAATTGCAAAACTTGAGCTTGAGCATCCCTTTAGGCTTGCACTTGACTGGGTCTTTTAATTTTCTAAAACCACTACCACCACCTGTGTTGCCAATAAACTTGTTGTTCTTTTTCTTTCCATCCAGGATCAAGTCGATATTTTTAGCCATGTCAGACATTGCAGCCAACATATAATGTTCTGCTTCCTCATTCCCTTGTGCTAGTGTGCTAATTTGATATGTAAATCTACTAAGATAATTCTTGAATATCATACATCTACATCCCTCCTGTGATGGGATCACATTCTTTCCCATACATGTGAATGTTCGACCAACATAAATATCTTCCCTAGCTCTAGCTGACCATCTCATCAGTTGGTACTTCAACAAAATATTAATTATATCTAACTACCTTATAACTCTCATGCAGTTAGAACATAGTAAATCCAGATGATTAGATTCTTGTTAGTTGATCTAGCCAAACTTAATATGAGGTTGGACAAGCAACTTATTGGAGGGATCGGTCATTTCTCAAAGAGACATGTCAAATTGTCTGCCAGTTGTATAATCCTAATTGAGCATGAAAAATGAGTCATAAGGTTTAAAGTACAAGTATATCTAGCATGAGCATGTTTATTCACAAATTAAAAGTTCATATTAAAGCAAAGATCCCTTCATGAAGATGGCTAAACTCTTCTACTATATACCCACGCATACCTTCACTAGTGTCTAAAAGGTAGACAACAGGTCGTGAAAATGAAACTCGCATCTAGTGGGACCGACAAGTGAACTCGCCTATTGATCAATAAGGGAACTCGCCCAAGACTCACAAGAGAACTCACCTAGTGAATAATATGCGCTACTCACCCAGGATGATACAAGGAGGTTGTCCCTTATATGGGGAGATCAAAGTCATTATAAATCAAGGGACTTGCCACTCAACACATAAGAAGTTAGTGGCCAGGGTCACTTGCTCTCATCCAAAGTGGGTGTCCTCACTCATAGTCACCAAGCTCAATTACAAGAAAGCATCTACTCAGGGCTCATCCTCAACTTGTCTTTCCACAACCATCCGACCTAGAGCTCTCCCTTTCCATGATAACACAACACACTAACCTCTCTCTTTTAAGGTGATATGAGGCCCTAAACAAAAGTCATCGATAACTCCAACAAGCTTACCAATCATAAGCCTTCTTAGCCTTGCACTCATAAATGGGCTCGCCCAAGGGTACTAGGCATCTAGATGTGATGGGTAATGAAGTGTGACTTACCAACTCACATGGAATGGCTCATTATGGAGTCTAGAATTTAAATTGGTTCGTGCAAGTGTATTTGTAGATATAACATTCATTGCACTTACTCATTCAATGACTAGTATGCACCTTTTGTCTTTACACATGACATACATAATAAATATATTCCTTCTCCCATCCTCATTTCTAGATACAGTCATAAGTTTATAACACACATTTGATCTTCAAATATGTGTTCCCCATCCTAAACAAATAATGGAGTCTCATCGTGAATCTTTTCTATCTCAACCTCCTCTTCCTCCTCTGCCTCATCCAGAAATATAATATTGGCCCTACATTGATTTTGTATGTGTCATTTCTTATGGCATTTTAAAAAATTATGTCCTTTATGTCTTTGTGGTAGATTCAATTGTAATATGAGCACTAGATGATGAAAGGTTAGACCTAGCAATAGACCTTTGAGTTTACTATGTGAAAGTATGATACCTATATTTTTTCCCCTTCAAATTAGATATAGATACCCCTTTAATTTCTTATGCTTTTCTAGGAGTTAGGCATAGTGAAAGTCATCCTCTAGTATTTGGGGGCCCTAGAATTCTACTTCATCATAATATTCCCTATACAACCAATGATAAATTTATTGGTCAATTGTCACTCTTGGTATATGCAATTTGTTCTAGCTACAAGATCCTTAAAAGTGTTCGTGTATCTAACTAAATGTATGCTTTATTGTATAAGGGTTACATTAAATGTTCATGAAGCTTCTTATAATGATTTATAGGACAAAATTGTACCTAAGAATCTCTTTCATTTCAACATAAGAAATGTCTTACCTAGTCTTTCTTAGCTACAATATTATTCCAACGGATCTTAACATGGTTAATCAATTTTATGTTGGTAAATGTAGTTCTTTGATAGTCATCCATTTGGTTCCCGTCAAAAAACTCATCCATCTGAGTAAGCCGGTCTAAGAACCCATTTGGGTCATGAACTCTCTTAGCTAAATTGTCTATTTGATCTAAGTTGGAAGATTTTTTAGGCATGTTTTATGCAATGCTTATGCAAGATGAAACACAAATGATTTTTTCTAAATTTTTAAATATGCTCTCTGATCTAAACAATAATTATAATGCAAAAACTTTTCAAATGACCAAGCTTTCAATTCAACATAAAATAACAAGTTGGAATATAAAACAAGCAAACTAACAAAGGGACTATAATAAAACCTTAAGAAACACAAATTCAATTTTGTTATGTTACGTGCACTCTAGATCAAAGTTTTGGTAGTGATCACTCCCTTGCTGAAATTGACACTAAAATAAATTAAAATTTTAGGTAGGTTATTGAGGGAAGGTTAAGGCTAATAAATGTTGTCAACTAGTTGGTAGGAACACAGTTTCCCATATAAATGCATACCCCATATAAATTATGAAGAGCTTTTGCAATGAAAAATATAATATCATTAAAGAACATAAACAAAATCCTAATTACATATACTAAACTTGCTATGATTTGATTTCCACCACTTGCAAATATTGCCTCTTTCCTCCAAACCTTCAATGAAGAGAATAGTGAAATCCCCTTCAAACTTTGGGCTCTACGACCACCATTGGTGTAATATATTGGAGAGACCACTTGGCGAGGTTCAAATTAGTTGGTAACCCTTCACAAGAGACTCGCATATATTATAAATATGATATTTGAGTTAATTTGTTGATGGTGTAAAGGTTTGGGGAGCAATAAGGGTCGACCTAGAGTTTGGGATAGAAAATTCAAATAGCACTATCCTACAATCAAATGACTAAGAAAACCATGAATATTTATCCAAAAATCAAGAAATTACTTGCACTAGCTAGTGGAGAGTGTCTAAATATCATAAAAAAAAAAATTCACAAATTTTGGAAGGGTCTAATTTTTTTTTTAATTAGAAAGTGACTAGGTTCGTAAAATCTTAATTATGGCTATTTTTTTAGGGCTAAGATTTATGCATTAGAAACATAATTTGAGAGAGCAATTCATGTAAAACACATTTAGGTGAACGGGGTATATTTTAAGAATAAATCTGAAATTTTTTAACTTTTTATAGGAATTAAGATCACCAATTTCCAACTGAAATCACACAATTTTATATTTCAGCCAAGGATTGACCGACCTCTATTAATGAATCTAACTAGAAATTTTTATAGGATTTTAATATGAAAAAAATTTTTAAACAAAGTAGGGATAAAGCTAAATAAGATTACAACAAAAGATTTTAGTAAAATATATTCTATGGCCAAACACCGAGCATTGTCATTTCTTAGATTTCACTCCAAAATTTTGTCACCAAATATTTCTAAACTTTAATTCCATAAAAAATATTTCTAAACTTTCATTCCCCTAAAACACACATTTTATAAGTGTTTACAAGAAACTTAGGCTTCATTTGTGACAGCTTTCTTACTGCTTCTTAAAGCAGCTTTCTAGTACAAAAATTTTAATTTTTGTACTAGAAAGTCATTTTAAGAAGCAGTAAAAAAGCCGTCTCAAACTTCGTTTGGACTTTTTTTTGTCATCTTGTACTCCTGGTGTTACACCACATGCATCCTAGAAATTCATTTGTAACATTCAAGCCTTGAGAAGTTTAAACTACGGTTAGGAAAGATCAGCATTGATAGTGAATTAGTTTTATGAATTCTAAGCTTTCGGATCATTAACAAACTTAACATTTGTTGTCACTCAGCATTAAACCTATTAACAAATTCTTGAAATAAAAAGCGCCACGAGGTAAATAACGATTGAACAAAAAGCTTCCATTAGAGGAAAAATAAGACTTCAATCAGATGACAATTCTAGCACCTTTACACATGATATAAAATAGTTCAAATCTTGGATCATAAGGCTAAAATGTGAACTGTAGCATTAGAGTGCATGATCAAATGTAGTGGCAAAATGTCCTAGTTATGCTCAAAAAGAATATAAGAGAAATTAAGTCAAGGAAAACTAAGATCTTCCACTCAGATAAATGCAACATCATGACTTGATCATGAATACACATCAAATAAATGATGATAGCAGACAAGAGGACTATAAACCTTGCATAAAGAATCTAATCCTTGTTGGAGGCCTTCAGAACTAATCTAAATCAGCTATTTCATATAAGAATGCCGAGAGAAGAATGTGTTTTTACATCATAAGCAATCCAAACTACTCATTTTCAAATAGCAAATCGCTATAGCCTTTGCAAAACTTGGAATCAAAAAACAGTCTTGTGTTAAAAAGAACATATGGCTCAAATATTTTAACAATTATTGGACTTGATAATTTAGATGATTTTACAGCTTTCCTACTCCAGGCTCTTGCTCTTTCCTATTTGATAAAAGAATAGGTTCAATCCACAGTTATCAAAGCTCAACCATTGAGTTGAAATGTTTGAAGACTCCCTGATACTTACCTTAGAATGGAAATTTAAGAAAAATGCATGTACATTGCATCAAAATCTTCTCAATCAACATTCTTGACACCCAATTTCATATTTACTATCAAAAGAGTGAATGTTTTGTTGCTACCTATCTAAATAACCAAAGTTGGTAATGTTGCAAATTCGGATTGCAATATATAATAGGAAGTTATTACGAGTGCATAATAGCCTAATTTAAGCAACTGAATGTAACACAACACAAAAAATGACAAGTTTTTTTCTTTCCAACGACAACATTGTAGACCAGAAACCCGTAATCTTTACATATTAAATTTAATAGCCATTTAACGTACTGACCCGCAAAGGAAACAAGGAAAGAATCCCTATGAATTTACATTTTGAAAGTGCATTCCCATTACATGCAAAATAATCAAACCTCAGGAATGAAGCACAATGTTTAATGAAAGCAGAAGCACAACATGCACTTCAGCAAGTAATATGCTGGGAGCTGAGACATTCCCCTTTTATTTCCAGCAATCTGATTTTCACAATATATTTCTTCAGATAATGAATATCGTCGCATGTAAATTCTTAGCCCGCAAGATTAAGATTGAAGAAGCAGACAGAGCAGATAGTTTTTGGAGCTGGAAATCACCATAGAAATTCATGATTATGAAGATCCAATAATGAATAGCAAGTTCATTAGTTCGATGACCAGTAATACAATGCTAGGAATGCACTAGGAATGCAATGTACAAAAAAAGACTAAGAAAGACAAAAAGAAATAGAAGAGAGCAGTTGAAACCGTCTAGAAACGGAGAAAAGTAAACTGACTACCTTTTTCTCAGTCGATGTCTCTCTCACTCAGGCTTGGTGTCAACAAGGGCCTCGTGAATGGCAGACTTGGGATTAACCATGGGTGGCCCTTTCTCTCTCCTCTCGAGCTCATGTAGCTTGAAAGTGAGAAGCTTATCCCAATTCTCACCTTCAAAGAGGACTCCGGCCTTCCCGTCTGTGACCCTCTGCACGATACCACTGTACATGTAGAAGGGGTTTGCCGGGTTCTTCACAATCACAATCATCCCCGGCATAAGCAGCGGAAGCTCAGGCGGCTTGGGCCCCGAACCAGGAAGCGGGGCTCCTAAAAGTTCCTCTCCACCGCCTCTCTTCTTAATGGTAGGCGGATTCTTCTCTAAAAAACTTTGAAGGCCCCTCTCGCCACCGGGGAAACCACCGGTGAGGCCCAGAAGTTCTTTCTCGAAGCCCTCTTCTCCACCAATTATGGAGGATGAAGGCAGAGATGGATCGATGGCGGCAGCTTGAGTGGGAGGTACGGTTTCTGGTTCTACGATGATCGGCCTCTCGAGTTCCTTTCCAAGGCCCTGTTCGCCGTTGCAGAGACCTCGTCCACCCATCATCTCGTAGAGATTGAACTTGGCGGAAGGGGTCATCACAGTGCTGCTACCGGAGGTGTTTCTGGGAGAAATATGGAGGATTAATGGGGCTTTGCGAAGGAGGAGGCTGCTATTTTGAAGTAGAGGGTTTCGGATGGCGTCGAATTGGAGTGGAATTGAAGAAGCAGCCATGGCGTTTTCAAGGTAATCTCTCCAAGAGCGCAGAGAGCCGGAGAGCTCTTCTGCCGGTTATTGGCAACCTAGGATTCTGTGGTGTGAGAAGTATGATATTCATCCACGACATTGAATTAAGGATAACAACGAAGAAATCCTAAGAGGCTGTTTTGGTAACAACTGGGATTTAATTTTAGTAGAATTTGAAATTTTATGTAAATTTATGAAAGTCGTATATTTATTGGGAGGTTTGATGGAGAAGTATAGAGAGAAATAGATTGGGATATACACAATAGCAATCAAGTTATTAATAAGACTATACATTTTAGATATCTTGGATCTATTGTTCAGAGTGATGGAGAAATATATTGGGATATTATTAGTAGAATTCAAGTTGGAGGATAAAGTGGAGGAATACATCGCGCTTGTTGTGTGACAGAAAAGTACTACTCAAACTTAAGTAAAAATTCTATAAAATGGTAGTTAGACCTACAATGCTTTATGATGCATAATGTTGGTCATAAAAAGAAAAGCATAATATCAAGTTAACTGTTACATAGATGAGGATGCACAGGTGGCTGAGTGGTTTTACTCTTACAAACATAATATGAAATGAGTATATACATGAAAAAGTTAAAGTAGCTCTAGAGGTAGATAAGATTAAAGAGAGTCACCCTAGATGGTTTGGTCACATAAAATAGTGTACTTTCGATGACCTGTTTAGGAGAGTAGATGTATTAGATTTAACCTATATTAAGAAAGGCAGAGGTAGACCTAAAATGACTTGGTTAGAAAATATGAGAAATGTCCTTTATTTATTAGATCTAAATGAGAATTTAACTTTTAACATGACACAATAGAGAAAAAAAGATTATGTAATTAACCTCAGATAGTGGGATAAAAGCTTGTTGTTGTTAATAATTTTTGTAAATTTAAATTTAATAAATTTTAAGTGTGTTAAATCATGAAAATTATGGCAATATAAAATTGTTTGGTAATCTAATTCAAGATTTAATGTGATTAGTTCATTAAAAATTTAAATTTTATTTATATTTAAAATAATAATTACATATTAAATTTAATTATTAATAAATGTCAATAGATTATAATTATAAATAGTATAAATAGAAGCTAATTTAATGATTAATTTATTTAAATAATTACTTAATTACTACTTGAATAATTTTAATTACTAACAATACTATTAATTATGATTAATTGTTTAAGTATTTTATTACTTCAAATTAATCATTATTTCACATATATCTTGTTCATTACATTATTAATTATTTTATTGCTTTTACTTAATTATTTAATTATTGATTTACATAACTAATTATTTGATCATTAATTATAATGCTAATTATTTAAGTATTTTAAAAAAATAATTTAATTTTTAACTATATCATTAATATCTAATTAATTATTAATGTTGTGTCCTGGAATATTTGAGATGATGGAGATATAAGGCTTAGCGTCTAAACTTTGTACAAGGATCCACCACACAGATAAAAAAAGAGGTGCACTATTCATAAGAGACACCAGTGTTTTTACATGAAAACCTCTAGAATGGGGGGAAAATTATGGGGCATTGCCAAGTTAAAGATGATTCCACTAGTGTTAGTGGTTGATTAAAAAAAAGTCCCTTCCTCGGAGAAGGGCGTCGTCTTAAATATTTATTGTAGAGAGCACATTATATAATTGGAGTTGGAAAGAATATGGTGGCATAGGAGTTGTTCTCAGGAGAGTGTTGGCCTGCTCATTTCATCGGTGTGACTGTAGTAGGGTGACGGTGGTTGGAGGGATTGTATTTGGAGGTCAGAGGAATCATAATTGACAGGCGATATTGTTCAGAGTGGAACGTACTTAGCGGGCAATGATGGTCGAAGCAAACCATAGTCGGCAGAGGATGGTAGTCGGAGTGGACCATAGTCGAAAAGTAACGGTGGCCCGAGAGATCGTAATCGGCGAGCGACAATGGTCTGCGAGCGACAATGGTCCAAGGGATTGTATTGGAGGGCAACAGTGGTCTAAGGGACCATCGTCAGGGGGCTTCAGAGGTCGGAGAGATAGAAGTCGGCGAGCGATAACGATCATAATGGATCATAGTTAGTGGGCGACGGTGGTCAGAGTGAACCATAGTCAGTAGAGTGACTGAGGTAGAAGTGTTTTTGGTTATTTTCAACCTAGAAACAAGTCAATTGAATGTCCAAGCCAAAAAATAATAATTTTGCAGTTTGTGTTGGGTGATCCTAACTCTTCATTTACAGAAGACCCACAAATAGAGGAAAAGGTTGAAGAAAAACAAGATGAGGATGAAAAGATGCTAGCTTGCATTCAAGAGAAGATACTACTAACACTTCATCAAATAAATCCAAACCAATGCCACACTATTTGTAGAACATGTTGAACCATTAGTGGAAAAGTGTGAGAGTTATTACTTAATAATGGACGCACAAAAAAATTATTTAAGCATAAGATGTTAAAACCCCAAACTTCAAGACTTCAACACATCTACAACGATATACAGTTCGTTGAGTGAAAAAGGGCTTTGAAATCATTATCACAAAAATGCTTCAATTGATATTCTTAATTAGCAAGCCTTTTATATGTGAAGTTGTGTGCAAATTCATATGTGGATGAATGCTAAACATGTCCACTGGTTGCACTCTATTTAGCATCGTCTATACAAAGTAACTTTTATTTTTAATACAAAGTTCTTAATCACACTGTTGATTTAGAGTTACCAACTAAAAGCAACGATGAAGCAGTAGCAGCCATAGCTACTGATTTTGCTTTCAGATGATAGCCTTTCTGAGACAAAGAAAATAGATATCCAAATACTAATACACCAAGTTTTTCTACACCACTCAGCCACATGTGATCGATTATGATCCATCAAGTTGTATGGATTCTTGCAACTAGCTTTATCTTGTACTTAAGTTCTCTAAAAAGACTAGTTCGAAATAAAAATTTAGTATGTAATCACAAGACCCAAATAAAAACTCAAGATGGCTCAAGCAATTCTGCAAAAGCCATTATGCAATAAAATATAAAACCAACCGTCTTTTTTTTTTTTTTTTGGACGATGCCTCAAAATTAACCAGGTTTGAAAATGATACGAGTTCATAATTTCTGCAGTCAGGGGCGGTATCGCTCACATTACAAATCTTGCTATTATGTAAAGTATGAACCCCCATCAGCTCATCCTCGTCGCTTGGAGACTTAGCTTTCACTAAAGAAATTAGATAGCAGATCAAACTCGCAAAGCTAAGTAGGCGGGCGCTAATTGAAGGCAAATTAATGGCCATCCAGCATTTGGAGTGAATCCTTAAGCAACTTTTGTGCCTCTTCTCTCCTTCTGCATAGAAAATTAGAACATTGATGTCAATGCAGTTTATGATTCAGAAATCAAGTGAAAGAAACACTTTTGCAAGATCGGACAGAATCAATGAAAGAAACAGGTTTTAATACTTCTAATCAATGTAACGTAATATCTTAATGACGATAATCTACAATTATAGATAAACTACTTCAGAATGCAGTGCAGTCATGAAATAAAATGGGGCTTGTCAAGATATATTCCTAAAGCCACATCTAGACACAAAAAAGAAATTATATAGCTAATTTTAGCTAAGGTATGCAGTCCTTAAAATTTCTAGATAAGGTATTTAGCAAATGTCACTCCTCACTGTATTCATAGTGTGGAAAAAAAACAAAGGGGAATCTGCACAATGTGCGCACATTCTCTTAGCAACAATTGGGTAACATTATTGCTACAACTATGGCATTACATAATTATATACAAAGGCTCACCTCTGATTATGATCCTAAGTTTGCACTTCGTGATACAAATAGTTAATATGTATCAATAGAAGCATAAGAGTACTATAATGGGAAAACAATAGATCAAGATGATGATGACGATAATGAGCATTAGACAAGAAGGCTGATGCAGATATTATTATCCTTAAAGAAGCTATCCCAAATTCATTATATAACAACACAAAAATATCAAATGGTATAACTAAACTATGTTTATGTAATTATCAATTATTAATTGTAAACTTTTTTATCTAATTATTTTATTTTTATTTTAAAGAAATATGAGATGCTATGTTGTTTTTGTCACAAATGTTCCAGCTGCATACAAGACAGTGGGTGGAATGTCAATCCCAAGCTATTTGTTGTATGGTGGCAATTTTTATCAAAATATAGGAAGCCTTAATGGTATTGCATTGTTCTAGGAACACCAACGTTAGCAACAACGTCAACACCGCATTGTTTCAATGGTTGATACTATTGCCAACACAAGTATGAAATCTGCAAATAACTATTATTCAACAAGGAGCGCCACAAAATACACCAATAAATGTAGCCCCAATGCGCACTGACTTTGTCTACATAGAGGAAATTATAATCTCCCACATTTGATTGCTACGTTTAGTTGTTGAAATTTTTATAGAAATTTTTGTGAAATACTACAATCGACAATTTTACATTTATTTGGAAAAAACTTCCTTGAAAACTTCTTATGATATTTCGCAGTCTAACAACATTTTCATACTTAGTTATTGTGTGTGTTCTGTCTAACAAATGTTGACCCCTATACGTCAAATCTCGCACAAAAGGGCTAAACTGGCAAGATGCTGAACGTGCGCTTCAATGCGACATATTACTTGAAGTGTCAAACGACCTCCGATTGCCAAACGGACTACGTCGTTGTGATCAAGACATCAAATTCTTCTAGGTTGATACCCCTCGCAGTCAAATCGGGCAAGATCGGTACAAAGGAACGATTGACACCCGAGGCGATGGCACGCATCGTCGGATTAACGGCATCTGATCGCATAACGAACTTCATTGTTGCGTATGGAACGTCGTCGACATTCAAAATATACATTTTATTTGATTAATTGGGGTCGACCGAGGCAGTGGCATGAATCTTGATGTGACGACATGTAACTCAAGGAATTTGGCACTCGACGATTGCAAAAAGGACTTCGGCACGACATTGAAAATATACATTTTACTTATTCAATTAGGGTCATCTGGGATAGTGGCGAGGATCTCAAAGCAACAGCACGCATATCAACAAAAACTGGTCTCGGTTTCGCCCAGATCGTAGAACAGACTTCCCCGTTGCATTCAGATCGTACTCAATACCTCAATATGATGGTCAATTTGATCAATTAAAGACCTACGAGGAGGTCGACACGTATCTCGAGACAACACACGAAAATCGACATCCACGCTGCCCAAAATGACGTCTGATTGACAAACGGACTTCATCATTACATCTGGAATGTCGTCGATACTCTAAATGCACTGTCAATTTGTCCAATTAAAATCATGCATGCAAATCGATACAGTTTCAACACAATACCACGCATTTTGAGCAAATTAGCCCGTGTTGTTGCCCAACGATGTCTTATCGCGAAACTGACTGCGTCATTGCAACCGGAACGTTAAAATACTTGTAATGCACTATCAATTAATCCAATGAAAATTATGCGGCAAAATCGATGCATAAAAAAAAACAAAATTCACACGAATCGAAGAATTGCACGCATTTCGAGAAAATAACAAGATGATTGAAGCGCTTTTGGACTGACTATAAGGCATTATTGTCCATTTGAATTAATGTGATGATGATAGAGCATTAGCATGCATTTTAATTTAATAAAAGTTAACACAAAATTGGAAAGTCAAAACCACAGGAGAGCAAATCTCAATTTAATATCTTACCTCATTTTGTTGAAGTTTCGTCACTTCCGTCAATCCCACACAGTTGTGACCTCTGCCTCGATCAGTCTCTTGCTCCGTCATTAAGTCAAAAACCTTTCTTTTTAAGTATTCAGTGACTATTTATTTTTTTCATTCCTACTACTTATTAATGTGATTGTGCTAGAAGTTATTTGTATTGTAGATATAAGTGTATATATGTATGAATACCTGCATGCATTATATATATATATATATATAGATGATGCATACATAATTGTCAAAAAAAAAAAAGAAGAGAGAGGTTTTCTTTAAGCATTGATGGTTAATGTGATTAATGTGTTTAGCATTATTAGTGTCGAAGTTCACTAATATTATTCATCATTTGCATTGTCGCCATCGTCGTCAATTTTAATATACATGTATGTGGAGGCATATGTAAAGAAAAAAAAGATTAAAAAAAGAAGAAAAGAAAAAATCCAAAAAAAAGAGAAACTCTTGTGTTTTTTTATCATCAACATCACCGTAAATCCCTTGTCACGTAGGTATAAGTTCTAAATTCAAAATCCCGTTTTCTGTGTTTGTGTCGACCCAGAAAACCCCCTATACTCGCTCTCGTAGCACGGTAAGAGGAAATTTGGCGCGATGCATACAACGAGTCCACGGAAGCCCTGTACACGCTCTCGTAGCGTTGCGGAGACACCTCTAAGTACCTGTACACGCTATTGTAGTGTGGCCGAGAAAGCCACTTGTGTTTTTAAACAGGTACTTTGGAGCCCCCATACACACTTTTGTAGTGTGGTGGGATCGAAGATGCATGGCCTCGGTGTCACCCGACACCAACCATACACGCTCTTGTAGCGTGGGGATGGCCCGGTATCCCGTAGTTTCCCCTAAGCGGGGGAGACGTCGGGAGGCTGCCAAAATTTTCAGTGACATAGGGGACTTGGCATCAAATGAACAAGGACTTGGATTTGGACTTGTATCTGAACATAAAGCAAATGATTATAGAATGATGAAATTGAGAAGTTGATCAGAGAGATGTTGCAAGAAGGGATTATCTGGCCTAGTGAGAGTCCTTTTTCTAGCCTAGTGTTATTGGTTAAAAAAAAGATGAACTTAGCAGGTTTTGTATAGACTACAGAGCGATGAATAAGGAAACTGTGTCAAATAAGTTTCATATCCCAGTGATAGATGAGCAGTTTGATGAGCTAAGTGGGGCAGTTATCTTCACCAAGATAAATAGGAAGTCAGGGTACCATCATATTAGAATGAAAAGGGAGGATGTGCCGAAGACTGCTTTCAGAACTCCTAAGGGGCGCATTATGAGTTCCTAGTGATGTATTTTGGCCTTATCAATGCCTCAGCCACTTTCCAGTCCCTCATGAACAAGATTTTTCAACCCTATCTAAGGCGATTTGTGCTGGTATTTTTTGATGATATTCTGGCTTACAAAAGGTCAGATGGGGAGCATTGGGAGCACTTGAACCAGGTTTTAGAGCTGTTACAGTAGCATCAACTGAGGACCAATCTGAAGAAATGTTACTTTCCCGAGGCCAATGTGGAGTACTTGGGACATGTAGTATCTCGGGAGGGTGTAGCTGTCGATCAGGCCAAAATTGAGGCCATGTTGAGATGGTCACTGACAAAGAATCTCAGGGAACTCAAGGGGATTCCTAGGGCTAATTGGCTACTATAGGAGGTTAGTGAAGGGCTATAACACCATCGCACGGCCACTGACAAAATAGTTGAACGAGGATGGTTTCTTTTGGGGGAGGCGGCCATACCAGCTTTTGAAAGATTGAAGGATAAAAGTTGTAAGTTGTGTCTTTTGACCAATCTCATTCGATTCAATTACGAGGGGCCCCGACCTAGCAGAATTCAATGGTCCTGATCACAAAGATATCATCCGTTTGTCATTTGACCCCTTAAGTGACGTGTTTCATCAATAAACATATTGCTTTATTTACAAGTTTGAGTCCTCTCTGGCGTGGTCTGATGTATAGGGGTCAACAGTCGGCTAGAGATCGGGTAGGGAAGAAGATGAGTGGAGGTCGGCTTTGAGATAGAGGCGGGTAGGGAACGGTTGGGGCGTGGAGGTCGACGGGATCTGGATCGGATTTGAGGGTTCGCTCGAGCTTGGAGGAAGAAATGTGGCAGTCGGTTTGGTCTTAACTATCAAAGAGATGACGGGTTGAGATTTCCCGTGGAAGGAGATCTCGGCTATAGGTGGAGATTAGCGTTGCTTATGGGATTCAGAAGATTGGAGTTGGCTTGCAAGGGAGTTCAAAAGGCAGTGAGGTCGGCGGCTACTAGGGTCAAGTGGTTTGCAACAGGTATGGTGGTCGTAAGCTTCGACCTGTTGAACTAGAAGCTTCGGCGGGATGAGGGATTGGAGGTCGGGACTTTGGATGGGGCGTGGGTTTAGTCCGACTGAGACCGGATGGAAGAAATCAGCGGGTCCTTTGAGAGCGAGAGGAGTTCATGAGCGGGAAAGAACATAAACAAACAACTTCATTTCTTTCTCATTTTAACGACTTGAGTAGGAGGCGATCGAGGAGAACGTGGGTGAAGCGAGAACTTCGGCGACGCTTGTAGAAGATAAGTATTGTTGATGCGGCTAGAGCAGCGATTTGC